AGTAGGTTTTAATTAAGCAGACGTTCGAATGATGCGCGATTCTATCTACCTCGACAAGGTAGTTATTTTGTGTGTGTGTGTGTGTGTGTGTGCGCGTGAGGGGGTGTTGGTTCTTATTATATTTCATTTTTGCTAAAAGGTTCAGCAATTTTTTGCTTTACCCACGGCGATGTCAACCTCGCACGATGGTCCCAAGTGAAGCTCACATCCTGCGGTGGTGGCACTAACAGCTATAGACAACAGTCGCAATTTGGTGGTCGGCGGCAAAGGGAGTTGTGCCAGATCGGTTTTAACACTTTCGCTCAGCTGCTCACACGCGGTGGCCTGTTCTGACTTGGCGCCAATCTCATTGACGTGCAGATGAGCGGCGACGATTGTGTCTCTCGCCCCCCCCCTTCCCCCCGCCCCCCGCCTCTCCCCTCACTCACCCGGCCATCGTCCTCGCGGCCCATTTTAAAGTCACGAGGGCCACCCGGCTGCAGCGTGTCCGCGCATGTGGTGATCTTATCACCGAGTTCATTGTGAGGTTTAATTGATTGGGGGTGGTTGGCGTGAGCACTTAAGTACCCTGCTATCCATTGGGCGGTGGTGGTGGTGTGACGTCGGCTAGGTCTCTTTTGTCAAAATGCTACACCAGTCTAATTCTTGAATGTTCGACCACATGACTCGAACAAGAGAATTTAATTTAATTCTCAAATCCAGCATTTAGTACTTGACTTGATTGGCTACGATAACTCAAATCTTGGTGGTGGTTGAAGAAAGTGACTCCAAACTAAATCCGACCATCGATTGTGAAATTTGCCACAGACGAGCAGTTTGGAACTTGGCAAGTACAAGGGAGAGCTTGATGTCGCATTCTCTTCTGCATCAGCTTCGTAACTTGAAGAAAGGACGTTCGGTCATTCTGCAATGCTTTTAGACTTAATAGCGAATAAGGTGTTGAAAAGTAACAGTCTGATGGCATAGGACAAGCTGGGCATGCCTTACCAGTCATTGCCTTTCTCGACACGAATGAAAGATTACAGGCAATAGACTTCGAGAGAAAAGGTACTTATCATTGTCATTTTCAGCTCACCCTCTTGCTAGTTTTTGATATTACAACCTGAGTTGATTGCTTTTTCATAGTTTACACGGTTCATTCAAGTAATGCGATTCCGGTATTATTTTGGACCGTTTTTCTTGGTTACTTAAAATTACGCAAAATTTGTGCGAAATTAAGCCGGAGTTTCCTAGGCACTTCCGGGTCCAGCTCGATTAGTTTGGTGTAATTTTTGCACCATGAAGGTTTATTATGCCATACCTGATATTAATTTGCAAAAAGTGGAACTTCTGTTGAGTTATTTTGCGTTCATTGTCTATCTATTTATTAAAACTTTATTCTTGATAATCCCAGCCAATGCATCTCAAAGCGATACGTTCATCAGCACGAGTTTGGCTCCATGCTGTAACAGGAAGTGTTCACTGACCACCTCTTCACATGACTGAATAATGAAGTAACTGTTTCGTTAATTCGATTTTTAAATCAGTACTGTTGTTTTATTCGTTCGTTTCAAGTGATATCTTGAATGCAGTAAAGTTCGCCATGGGTCAACTTGTGAAGCACCAGGTCATTCCGAGTCTGAAGGAACTGGAATGTTTGTTTCAAGGCTTTCAAACGCTTCTACAAAGAGTCGTCGCGTCGAAAAGTGCAGTCTCTGAATGGCAAAACGACACAGTTGTTAAATACACCATGCAAACTTTGGCCCACACGGGACGATTCCACACGATCATGCTCGAGCCCACTTTGGTGGTGTGACATCAAGGCCACCTATACAGCTACCGCCTTTAAGCGGTCCTCCTTGGAAATTTGCTTTCGGTCTTTGCAGCAGGGGAATCGTGCCCAAGACCGCCGTAGGACACTGTCACCGCCCAACGAATGTTTCACAGCGGTTTCCGAATCTGTCAAAATTCACTTGAAAAAAAAACAATCAGAGGGAAAACTGTCACTCACTTGGGAGACATTCACAGACAGTTGCTATCGCATGCCCAGGGTGCACCTAGATTTGCTGGACAAAACAGCAAACTCCCCGTAGTGTCCATACCCGTCCGAAAATTGGGGCACGCGTTATAGCTGGGTGGTAAAGCGATGGGCTGATTGATTCGAAACAAATCAATTAATTGTCGGGTAACATGTTTTCCTTGAAGAATCGAAGTGTACCAACCTGAGTTTTAAAAGATGACAATAAGCCGATGCTTCATTTCACGTCCAGAGACTTCCTCAAAACTTCCAAGAGTTGCAGGTGTGCACGCAGCCAATCCTCCAACACCACTACTCCACCAACCCAGTTAAATCATCACAATTTCGTTTCTGAGACATGTCAAATAATGCGAATTAATCGGTGACCGGTTTAAAGGAAATGACGTCATTGGGCAAATTTGTATTTTACTTTAGTTATCACATAATTTAAGGGTTCTTTTTCAAATGGGTTATGGAAGAGTCTGTTAACTTGCCAACGACCTCGAGCATCAGTTGTGGGAGATTAGAGCAAATTTTCGGGAGTCTGTGATCAGGGTGTTAAAGCTTAGTCACCTTGTACATTGAGATTGTCGACTAAGAAGCATTACATCTGGTACAAAAAATCCCAGCGAAATAAAAGCATTGTGTCTCTGGAAAAGTTGCAAGACCCTCAGACCCAGGGGCTGATTTAGAGTTGAAATCGAGTGATGTGAACTAATGATTATGTGGAAGCCCCACGGAAAGCTGATTCTGAATTTTGCATTCAAGTCAGTTTCGTTACAACCTAGCAACCAAGGTCATTTTTCCAACTCAAATTTACGAAGGGGTCGAAGGTGAAGGTTGTCAAGACGGTTGAATTAAGAAAGATAGGTTTAGGGGACAAGGATTAGGAGGGCATGTTCGGAGTACAAGCGCAGAACCGGTCAGAAATGTTAACACTTGGGGTGATTTGGTGTGAAATAGCTCAGCTTTCCTCTCACGGCTTGTAAGGCATGTCTTCTCAGTAGCTTTACGATCGGAAGACCAATTACACTGTTCCCTTTTCACCACAATAGAAGGGAATCAAACGTGGCTGAACTAAATTTCTTTCTGTCTCGGCCCATGATGGTATCGCACCAGCCCGAGTAAAATGCGTAATTACCTCAACTACCTCCGTGTATGTGCGTGTTTGTAAAATGGAAGGCGCCGAAGTGAAATTTGTTCCATCACCGCCCAAATACATTCACACAACTGCGCAGCTTAAAGCGTGATCGTCCAGCGGTGATAATTCGATGGGAGACCACCGCCCCCACAGCACACACGCACGCACGCATGCACACGCGAGGAAAGCTAATGGCGCACCACCTCGCCCCACCCGCCCAAGCAGTCAGGCGCGCATTTCGCGAGTGTCGCCATGACAATTTTGTGGCTGATCGCACCCGCCTCGTCTCTCCCCTCACTACTCGCAAAATTGTCATCTCGCAAGTCTTGTGGGGGTGAAGAGGGCGCCCGGATTGGTAAGGCGACTGTCGCACACACAAGCACTCACGCGTGACAGATGCCTCGCCTTCCGAATCTCGATTGCGGTTGAAACGGACACACCGGGACTACTCCAATTCGGATCCCAACAAATTGTCAACACAACTCAGGTGGAGCTGGAGATAGCAAAACACCGCTGAGTATTTTATTGGCCTCTCTTATGGACTTACCACGGTAAACCCTACGCTGTCACTACAACCCAATACTTTGAGGCCAAGGCCAGTTTACCAAAAATTTACTGATTTTTTGAACAGAAAAATTAAATAGGAACGCACACCCAACACTTTTATCGCCTCTAAACACCCAATACCATCCCACACCCCCCTAAACTAGTTCCGTCGTCGGGGCTTGTTTACTGGGGCCTCCTTAGGCACCGTCTTTCCGATGAGTAAAAATTAAACAAAAAACGAACAACGCCTGCATAACACGAACGCTGCGTTTCAAGATTACGGCACATTTTGGGAATGGCCATGAATCTAGGCTTCTCAAGGGAACAGCCACTACCAGGAGCCAATAAGCACCAGCTGGCTGAGTTATGATCCGCAGCGCGCATTGCAGTCAAACCGCTCCCTTCGCAAGTCCTCCGATTGGATAGTCGTCACTCCTAGGTCCGCCGTACAGGACACTCAAGTAGAAAATTATGCGTGATGTTTGGTATAGGTAATGTACTAGATGTATGTCCTGGGTGTCAGCTGCGCTTATCAAATGAAAAATGAACGTTTTAATAAGAATTGAATGGATCGAGTACTGGATAATTGTCTGTTCCATTGCTAAGGCTTGCAATTCAATAACAAAAATTATGAAACACTACTTTAAGAGCATCAGTAGAAATTTTAAAAAAACACGGGATTAAGGTATAACGGCATCGTCTATTTACAGAGGCTGATTTGATACTGTCCTTAAACATCGTCTTGGGTTCTTGTAGTGGTCTTTGGAAAGTGTAGTCAAGCATTGTTGTGAATACGAGTTAAGTCGATTCTACTGATTATGGTCAGCCACGTACACTCGTCTGCATCCATTGTCTTCACTAACCGTCCCACCGAGATCCCAGTGGCCTTCGTCAAAGAATCTGCCACGTTTTGTCGCGTCTTTAGCACAAGGCCGCGACTCTCAGCGTCACCTTCATTCAACCACCCTCAACGTGCTTCGTTCGTTGCCACAATAAGCAGTGTTTCATCACTCAGTATACTGTGCGATCAACTCAAACGCCCACTTTTGTAACACGTCGAAGCTAGCTCCTTGAAAATATCCCTCCTCCTGCCTCTGCGACACCCAGTGGCTGACAGCTCCACGACCCGCGTCTGCGTCGTCACCAACACTGCACCGTTTTCGACCTACGCCGTGCCTTCGTAGTTGCCCACAGCAGACGAGCACCCGTGACCTCATGCCTTGCCAACGCCTCCACCGCCGTGGCCACGTTGGCTGGCAAAGTGCTCGATCGAATGTGAGTCGTCTGTGCTGCGCCGTGTTGGGGTTTGAATCCATGAATTCTCTTTCGTGATTTTCGAGAGTCAGAACGAATTAAGAGTAGAAAAGACAGGTAGCGGCAGATGCAGACGTGGGTGATATCTACGTATTTACTTCAAGCAAGTCAGGAGTAAATTAGCTTAAGACTTGCCATATGGATGCGAAATTGCAACCGACTCATTCTCTATTCTTTTCAATTCTGGACCTGCCCGCTGGTGGTGGTGTGGTGCTGGATCTCCGCATTGGTCCACCACCTTTTCCTAACGCGTCCCCAACGTTACCCTTATGCTTCCATCTCACCGATCAGACCTTTTTTGACATGGGTCGACTTTGGTGATTTGTCACTTTGACATTCGACACAAGAGCCCCTTCCACGCCAAAAGCGTATACTATCTGGGATTAAACTTGAGTAGCCAAAATACCGAAGCCATCGCCTTGCCAGCCTAAATATGCTTAAGCAAATCTTTGCTAATTGCCAACAAATATATCTGACAAAAATGTTAACTACGCAAGCTAAGGAGTGCCCGTTTTACGGTTTTTTCGCATCACATGAGCCGTCCCTTCTGCGCCTACCCTCCGTTCGGTGCGCCTGTTGTTTCGACACACGCGCACGGCATGCCAGAGACCGACTGCATCGCGTTTTCCGACGCTTGGCCCCAGTCAACCCCGACACACCTCTCGGGGCCCAGAGGCGATGGCAGGGGGGAGTGGGAGTGCAATCGATCGCTGAGGCGACTGAACTCAGGCACACAGCCGCCTTGAGGGCTACAGTAAGCATCAAAAGGCGGCCAACATTAGCAGATCTTCTGACAGCAAGCCAAATTTGATTTTGGTGTATACCGATTTACATGACAGTTATTTTCACTAAATATTAAAAAAAATGTAAACAAGAAGTATTACATTTGAATTTTACAAGTCGTGGGACATTTGTACCAGGAGATCGTGTCCAAAGCAATCAGTAGTGAGGGTCCTGGATGGAGGGGCTGGTGGCTAGTCATGACAAGTCGCTTTTCCATACGACGTGACCAGCTAAAGTACAACAATTTCAAGAAGCCAGACCTCCACAGCCTTGCGCGCAGAGAAGCACGTGAGTCAACACGCGCGCACATCCACGCACACAGGCTATAAAAGGTTTATCTGACACGGGTGGCAGTAGGCAAAGGTCTTGAGACATGGGGAACGTGCCATCTAAGCAGCCTGCTTCCGTTGGCGTCGTGGGAGCTGCATTCAACAAGGGCCAAGACAAGGACGGCGTACAAAACGGACCGGCGACGTTGAGAGGCGGAGGCCTCCAGGAGGCACTGAATGCAACAGGTGAGCAATTTTTGTACTATCACAAAACCTTCCAGTTCTATATTGCGTCACCACTGGCGGTTAGGCGTTTCTCATTCCATGACACATCAACTTAATTAAACACTTGGGTGCCTATGCTCATTTTTGTGCAACTGGTTATTATGTTTGTTGAGGCCCCTAAACCACTTTCGAAACATCCCCAAATGATTCACGTGGGTTTGCTACCATTGATTACCATTCTGCTGAGTTCGTTTTCAAGGCTGGTGGAATGCATAGAAGTTTTGGGAATTTTTTAAACTGACAAACAATTTTTGTTGACATGGCATCTCAACCGCTGTCGTTATTATCCTAAGCTCCGTGGAATACGGACTCACGTCTTTATAAAACTATCCAAATCTGTTTTCTCTAGGTGCTAAAGTCACCGACTATGGCGATGTTACTCAACCGATCGCCAACGAGCCAGACAAGATCCTAAACTGCAGCAACCAGCGGGCGCTGATCAAAAGCACCCTGGAGATAGCGGAGGCCGTCGAGAAGAGTGTCAGCGAGAACGACCTCACGTTGATTTTGGGCGGCGACCACAGCCTCGGCACCGGGAGTATAACCGGCCACTTCAGGGCCTATCCGAACTCGTTTGTTGTGTGGGTTGATGCTCACGCCGACATCAACACCCCGGAGGCCTCCGAAAGCAGCCACACCCACGGCATGCCTCTCGCGTTCATCGTGAAGGAAACCAACCAACTCGTCCCCCAAGTACAGGGCTTCGAGAAAATTAAGCCAGCGTACGTTTTTCAGTCCTTTCTGGCAATTCATTCCTCCCCCCCCCACATGAGTTAATAAGCCTTATGTTAAACCATTCAGCTTGGCGGCAAGCCAATTGATCTACATTGGACTCAGAGACGTCGATAAAACTGAACTGTAAGTTTCATTTTCATGAAAATATTTTTCTGTTTTAAAAAACTTACCCTCTTACTTGTTTGTCACTGACAGAAAATTCCTGAAGGAATTCAGCATTACCTATTTCGACATGCACGACGTGAAGAAACTTGGAATTGAATGTGTAATGGATATTGTATTGAGGATTATTGCAGAAAGGAGGTGAGCATTATGCTTTATAGACAACGACTTCTTCATGTCTGATTTGTGCAAGATCTTGCTAGATTACATTCAGTAGCACTAGGAGTAAGAATGCACTAAATAGGAGCCAAAGGTGGGTGGTGGTGTCGGGTCCATCAACTCCGCATTGCTGAAGCTTGATTCCTTTCTTGGTGCGAAAGTTTAAAAATCAATGACTACAGTGCATCTGTTGTGGCCGAGTGAATTGCCCATTGCATAAGTTCTCGTTAATGTTAGGCATGACTTGTGAGGGCCGAATATACAACGTTACATACTAACTTACAATGTAACGCATCAAAGAAAGCAAACTACACATAAGTGTTTCTAGTAAAATTCAGATACTTTGTATCTTTCATTTTCAATAGACCTCACTGCAAGATCCATTTGAGTTTTGACATCGATGCACTGGACCCTAGTTTCGCGCCTAGTACAGGAACGCCTGTTCCCGGTGGTCTAACATTAAAAGAAGGAAAATACATTTGCAGAACTCTCGCACAGACTGGTAAGCTGTATGATGAATGCTCATTTTGTGCTCATATCGCGCCCCAAACAGACGTCTGGCTGTGGGCTCTATTTATTTCGACCAATCTTCTTTATTGTAGCAAGTCGTGTGTAAAGCAGGGTCAGTAGGGCACTCATGTGACCTCGATGATGCAATTTTCGATGACATCGATTGGTGCGGCCTGTGGGTCTGCAGTGGAGTACGCAGTTATTGATGGGTAAAACGCAGTGACGGCGGCTGCGGTGCAGAGCAGCCATTCGATACTGGTACACAGAATTGAATTAACTCACATAACGTCGAATAACAATGCACTGGCATATTTGAGTTCCAAAGTCACAACTGTTCAGTGCAAAAATGCCCTTCGTAAAAATTATAACCTGATTAAGATTTTCCGACACCTGTACCGGTTTGAATGGTTTAGTGAAATGTGATTCCACAAGTCAGTAGTACTTGGCTCCGATCTTTTCAGCAGGTCTACGCCTCAAGTTATTTCACTTCAGTAATCCAGTGTTCGATTATGGAACTGCAAAAAACATATTAGGTTCTTTTAGAATGTTCCACCAACGCAAAAAGGAACCGAGGTTTGAGGCAAGTAAACGCAATTTGATGGAAGGTTTTGATGACTGGAAAAGTCAAACTGGATTCATGTACATTCTGCCGAGTGAAATGTTAAATAAGTAACGAAAATCCTTTTCTTCGTACATGCATCCGCATCTTCTGTGCGTTTGTGGCTGCCTTCAGCACCGCAGCTTTCGGAATGGGCATCATGTGATAACAATAAGCAATGCTTGAGTCAGCCAGACGCGCGAGCCACATAGGTGTTCAGCGAGTGCCACCAAGACAAGTGGACGCACCCACCGCAGACACACCCATCGTAGCAGTAGTGACGCACGGAAAAAGCAGAGTCATGTGTGGCTGGTGCTGGTGTTGATTATCAGCGCTTTGATCTGTCATCGAGTGGTCAACTACATGGTGCCCATTTTTGACTCAATTTCTGAGACGGTCTGCGAATTCGGACTAAGATGAATAAGCTGTTATCTTTACAACCCACATTTTGACAACACGTACTCTATCTTGCGTATTGCAGGTCAATTGAAGTCCATGGACATGGCGGAGGTTAACCCTGCTCTTGGGTCCCCTGAAGACGTGAAAACAACTGTCGAGTCGGCCACAGAGCTTTTAAAGAGTGCTCTCCTCTATCAATAGGAGCGGCAGAAACTATGAACGGTATTTTTGCCCAACTTTTCAAACCGTGCAACCCCCCTCCCGTTTTGTCCCTCAATATTTTTGCATCGTAATAAACGACTTTACCACACCGCATTGTCCTGTGCTCCTACCTGTTGAAAAGCAGAAGTCCAAGGAGTGGTTGATGCGCACATAAGTGACCGGAGTCCGTCGATTCTGGGACCGATTATAAGGAAACTGCACGGAGCTAGGTTGGGGGTTGTTCAGGTTCAGGTCACTGTGTGAACAATAAATGGTTGAAAAAGAACCTTGAGCCACGACAAACTGAGAAGCATTGTCACCAGATTAGGAGGTTACAGGTGAGGAAAGAATAAGTATGTTGTACATTCTCGAAGTACTCCGAAATTGAAGAATTCTTCACTCTCTAAATTTGTTGATACACTTGTGAGCTACCGATAAAATTAATTTGCCATGAACAGCGCCCCCAAAATTCGAAATAAGTAATATATTATTATGGAAAAGCTAGTCTTTCAGCGTGTCTTTGTCCTGTGGGTTTTTTGTTGTAGAGTTGTAGAGTTATTCCTGTGGTACATACTTAAAACTGGATGATCGGGCGGAAAAGCATTGACAGACGTTAATGGAGACATCGGTCGCAAGACTGTACCACAGCGTATTTCCACAGTTTAAACTCTCATTATATAAACTGGGCCTAAAGGCTGCACCGGAATCCGGCGCGGCGTGGAACGGCGGGGACTAGCTGAAGTTCTATCTCGCCTTTTTGCATTGCGTTGTTTTGGACTTCTTAAAAAATGATGAGAAACGGCAGTCAGAAACGTATTTGCTAAGCATTTAAATGGTGATAAATAATGTTGCCGTGGAATAGGTTTCCGTTTTCGTAAAAAAGTGAGGATTTTTCGTCTATGAGTACCTCCACAAAAATTACTAACTTGTAAAAAGTGATGACGAAAAATCTCCAAATTTGAAGTAAAGATGTGAGTTAAGGTGGGATGAGCATTTATTCGGGTGGATTCAGCTGGCAGCCTTCTCTCACGACAAAGCCAGCAATTATGTTAGTGGTAATTGTAATTTTTTAAGCAGGGTGCAAACACTAGATCACCAAATCCGTAAGCAATTGGTTCAAGGCTTGGTAAGCTTAATTTATGGGTATTACGAAGAGATTGCGTAACTTTCCTTTGGAACTCGCAGTCACCCGACAGCGGGGTTGGCTTCGGTGAGAAGTTATCTATGTTGATTTATTTCAGTCACCAGGGTATGGTTATCGAAACCGCCATCTCTTGTTAAGACGAGTATACCCACGGTGGAATCTTGGTTCAGGTATAGTAAAGCGATTTATTAGCCATATGTGAGTACATGGCGGGTGATAAATTGTACGGCAAGAAAATGAATTTCAAGTGGTGCAAAATTTCCCCCTTTTGTTCGGTTTCCAACCGAAAGGACCCAGACACTTTCTTCGACTAGCTTCCTCACTCCTCGTTTTATGCGCCTTGCCACAGACCTGATGTGTGTGAGTGGTACGCGCATTTCTGTCACCCCGCAACCACTACCTTCCCAAACGGCACTATTGACGTTACCCGAATCGCCAACATTCATTTCCGCGCGCGCACACACGCGCACATCATGAATAAGAAGCAATCTGAACCAGTCACGCGTGTTCCGAGGTTTAGAGAATGGGCCTTCGGTATTAGTGGGATATTTGATAGTAACTACCCACTCTTTGTAACCTAATAGAGGACTGTGAACAACTGTCAGTCTTTCGAATTCTGGCCATTTATGAAAGAATAGAATGTTTCTTCTGGGGTTGGAAATGGCAAACCTTAATTTGTGCCAATTAAACAAAAAAGCAATGTCCAAGGTAAAAGCCTAATGATGAAATCGTCAAATTAGTAGGAATCGGTGACACCTTTTACACATTCCTTTCCAACTAAATACCTCACCAGGCTAGCCATGCAACACTAAAGTCACTAGTAATTCACAGAGCTTGCATTGTTCAGACACCACCAAAGGACAGTAAAGCTGAACTTCGAACATCATGGACAATGAAATCAGCGTTATCTAAATGCACCAAGCGACTTTGTTTGTACTGAGCTTGGCAGAGACATTGCACGTTAATGTCATAAGCAACTGTAATTAAACTTGTAAAATTATCCGTGCATATTTAATACGCCATGTGCTATATCCTAACCGAGCACAATAAATCGAAAATTATGGTGCTAAGGTTGGGCTGGATTGCTCGCATGTTTTGTTATGACGAATACGGTAGCCACACAAATCAAAATAACTGCAGACTGGCATAATAAAGCAGCCTACACAGCAATCAAGATTTTTTTATTAAATCAGGTGGTAAATCAAACTAACCACAGTCTGCCTAACACAGCCCGACTTCTTGTTAGTGGAAGCCAAATTTGCACATTTTGGTCAACTGTCATCTAAAGACTAGCGGTTTGCTTGCAGGATCAATTTTTCCTTGTGTGGTTCTTTGTGGCGCCGTGCTAGGAGCGACAGCAAGGAAGAGTTTCTCTTTTTAATATTCATTTCCTTGAATTCCACGTAAATGCAGGACAACCCACTCCAAACTCAAACGCTCCATAAGGCACCACAAGCACCCCGGAGTCGTTCTGAGCTGGAAGAAACTTTTACCATGTAATTTTTGATCGGCATCCATTCCTTTTGCCGGGATAATTTTATGCCACAACATCATCATGTTTTTTCAGTACCATTTTCTTTATGATCCACATATTCGTGGTTATTGTTTTGTCATTTAGGGCACCGTGGTTTAGCAAGTTCAAATTTCCAAGCCGCATTTAAGTTTTTAAATAAACCACCTCCGCGTGTTTACCTCGACAGATGAGTCCAAGAGGAGAAAATAAATGGTGTTTACACTGCGCTCATCCAAATTTCGTCTTCATTTTCTTTTTGTGCATGCTGCTTGATTTGACATATTGATGAAACCGAATACATGGAAGCGAGTGGCCCTTTTGTTGTCGGTCGTACTCATCGTGAATACCACACTTCAGTTGTGGCGCTTTGAAAGACTGTCTTCAACGCTGACTTCATTCTGTGGCCAGTAGACGCAGGTAGGACAGTTATTGCAGCAGTTACCAAAAGAAACTGTCCCAATTTCTTAAGAGAAAAAACCTCTTAATTGATTTCCAACGGATACACACGTGTTGACTTGGTGGCTACCTCATAATGTTTATGTGTAGCAGTCAAAAAGTCGACTTTGACAAAATATAAGTTACAAAATTCCATAATTATGCCCTTATAGACATTCACACAGTGTCGATAAGGTAAAGTTGTAATCGTTGAAGTCATTTGTATTCCGACGAGAACTGTCAAAAGGATCGCATATTTTTTTGAATAAAATTTTGCCTTCAACACAATAAGCGTTCACAAGCATGATCAATATTTTTGAACCATAATTTTCGAAAATGGTCACCCCAATTTACCACTTCAATTTTAGACAATTAGAACCAATCCATGGGGACCTTTCAAAAGTTGGATTGTACATTTTACGCCCTGTTTTCAAATTTGACAAAAGAAAAGTCATTCATTAGAGTTACTTAAGGAGGGAAGTTCTGTGATGGAAACTATCCATTGTTTTTGAAAGATGTCGAGACTCAAATTATTTTGCACAAAAAGAGCTTTGGCCTCCAGTGAGTGCAGCGTTGAAAGGAAGTAGATTTTGATAGGCTTGGCTTGCGTGTGCTGACGCCTTTGATAAGTCGAGAAGACACTGAAACAGCCTTGAAGGCGAATGTGATTTTTAAATTGCATCCTAGTCATTACCCACTTTGGCTCACGTTAGTTCGATTATTGCTTTAAAGTAATTGTGCCTCGCTGTCATTTATGACCTCTAGACGTGGGTGAACTAGCATTGGAGAGGTGCTAAATATGCGCTTCCCAACCGAAGCTCGATGCATCATCACTTGGTGACCTCTTTTGCCACTCATAATTAGCCATGCAGTTTCAAACGCTTGGTCTAACTCCAATCAGACGCTAAAATGTCACACGGTGTTAGTCGCATTATTGATTTAGTTTCTCCATTATGGTGAAACAGATTTATTGGGCGTGTTGCCTGGGTTCGTTTCACACCCAAAGAAGAACTTACATATGCAGCTATACCTGTTAACACCCAGTACATACTTAGATAAAATATTCACACTTTCAGTGGGTTGGAGACACAGCACACCTATTTCACTTGCAAGATGGAAAATTTTCTGCACTTAATTTGATTACACTAGGGTTCTGAAGACACACAGAGCACATTAACACACACCCATGGTATCAGAAGCTGAAGAAAGGTGCACAAATACGATGAATTTGCAAACTGCCTCAAAATGACTCTGCTCATTGTGGTGGACGGAATTGCTGTAGTAGTTAATGAAGTGGTTTGGACACATTGTTATTAAACTTAATTCCTCGGTCAAATTTTTGCGAATTTACCGATGGTAAAGTCTACATTTTGTGTACATGATTCAAACACGCAAACAAGTTAGGATGTCAGATTACCTGGCCCATAACCCCCAGCGAAAAACTGACTGCGATCTTATCACTAACGTTCACAATGCGGGTTAGAAATATGCCTTTTCAGTGAAGGATTATTTCCCAAAAAGGAACAGTTTTTTCCTTTCAGTTATCTAACTAAAACTGGCATATAGACAAAGTCATGTCTCACACTCAATGAAGACTAATTGCAACAGCTAGCTGCCCTTAGACCATTACAATGCGAAGGACTTGGACAAAATTTAGAGTGTTGGAGAGTTTTAATTGGACATTATTTCTTCCATTTCCACACACAAAGAAGGCAATGAACAAGTCTGAAATACTTATCTTATTTTACAGTTTATAAGTTCACTTTTAATTTTTATTTAATTTCTCACCCCTTCTGAGCCAATTTCGTTTAACAATAGACTTGTTTGTCTTCATCCAACATGTTAAATAAAGAGACGAGAGATAATACAGGATTACAATTAATAAATGCCATAAAAGGCTTTGATAAGCAAAAGTGCTCTTAAAGAGACAGACTCAAAGAAATTTTAATAGATAGGCATGTGAGACGGGAGATGCAAGGATGCCATGATGACATCCAGCATTGTAGATGCCCAGTATGACTGCCGAGACCACACCGGGGCCACCAGATTGGGTGGTCGCAGGTGTGCTGGGAGGCGACGGCTTTGACCGTTGACCAGATGGTTCAACCCAGCTGAGATGTGGCCGCGTGCACACAGTTGTGCGTGCTTCAACACGCTGCATTACCAACGCAGACGCTGAGAGCGGGGTGTGGACGGGTAAACGGGCCCACACGGTTTGCTGCAACGAGGTGAATTACCAGAGCGCCTGGACACGCGGCTGCAGAGATGGAGGACGTGAACCAGTGTGAATCGGCGGTACAAGGCGTGATGCGAATGTTTTTTGAAACTCAGAAAAAGTGGTGGGAATTCTTTGGAAAGGTAGAAAGAACGATTACACAGCAAGTTATTATGGCAGAGATGCAGCGGTTGAAGGCTACACCGAGTAAAACTCATGAGGTGGTCCTGTTTGAATGGATTCTGTCCAATGATGTCTGGGTGAATTCATTCACGGAAAACGTGGCGTGTTGTCTACAATGACGACTCTCAAAACCATGTGGCAGTGCTTGCTCCCAAAACAATCATAAACTTGTGTATGCCTTCTGAAATTGACTCAAAACGAATCCCGAGTTTTAAAAGTTTGTGCGCAGAAACATAAGTTTCGTTAGCAGTCGTGATCAGAATTGGGTGCGACGCTATTTAAGAAGTTTTTGCACATTTACAGTGGATTAACCATTTCTTCAAGTTTGCAGGCAACATTTTGACCTGCCGCCGCACTTCACTCTTGTGTAGACAGAGCGGAAAAACCAATTAATCACCGACGCCTCACGTTGAGACTTCTGGGTGTGTCCACACCCAAATCCTAGCAACTCGAGGTGCAGACGTGATGAGATAACTCAGCAACCGACTCAGGGCTGTTCCAAATGACAGCTGTGGCTGGATTTACTTTGGGGCGTATTCTTGCAATAGTTTTTAGAATATTTACTAGAATAGGTACGTTCTCGGGACTAGCCGTTCGTTTTGTAAATGGTAGTGACGAATGACACCCCTCATGGCAACAGTTAGGTAATCTGAACACCTACCCATGTAAGTATCGGAACCTCGCGACGTAACTGCTATAGCGAAGGCGGAAACCCATAATCTACTGGTACGTTTGTGTAAATGAACACAAGATACTGATATTCAAGTATTATTTGATAGCCCTCTAATCAGGTTTTGCAGCAGCGCAGACCATCTTCGGCCGTTGCTTCATGCACATCTGAAGTGGGGCTGGAGCTTTAGATAAGCTGAAAAGCAAGTTCCTTCCGTCTATGCGCCTCCTTACCATAGTGGTTCCCAGATAAACAGATCTGTGACCCTCTTCGTCCACAGAGGAGAGATGAGGATTTTTGTAACTTAGAGCAAGTTGACGGTCTGCGTCTAGCGAAAAGTAATCTTTCTAGGTCTCATGTTTGCTTTACCACAGCACCCTGATGGGAGCCTACAAACAATGGTAGTGAATCGCGTTGATTCTGTCCATTAACCCGGTTGTCGCACGGTAAGACCCACCACCACTCCCTTTCACGGCGTCCCCCCATCTGTCCATTCACACCTTCCGCAACCCATTCCATTTAACAGGGCAAACGGTCATTTGTACTTTTACGAGTTCACCAAGACCACATGGATCAAACGCCCCCATTAGTTAGACATGAATTTTTATGCACGGGGCGCGACACGCACACACAACCAGGTCGAGCCATTTAGTAAGTTGCTCCCGCTATCTCCGGTCTTCTTAGTATTTTCGGGTATCCGTGAGGCGTAACCGGGCCAGTACAAAGCAGTGGACCCAGTTTGGTTTGCGAAAACATGCCAGGGCCTCAGTACCATCAAGTCTGAATTGCAGGTTATGTCAGGCACACAGACCGCCACAATTGCTAACCGGATCTCCATCAAGTCCAAGATGTCCAGGAGGCAAATCAAAAAATGTACCAACATTGGTGCCATAATCCACTTTCTTGTTTTGTAAATGCTACTCTTTACAACTATCCCACTATTACCTTATACGTAACAAAAGCATTTAAAAGCAGCTCAAAATGTATGAAGAGATAACCAAGCAGGTCAGCGTATACATAGGTGGACACACTTCACGCACTCATAACGACGACATCTGAAAGTCACTTAGCTTCATTCTTATTTCCCATTATTTCATGCTTAGGCTCAAAGTGCTCAAACACAAAAAAATGACGCTTACAATATGAACGGGAGTTCAAGCTTATCGTTACTGATGAAAAAGATTAATGTACATTAAAAATAGAGAGTTGTTAAGGTGCGGAACCGAGATAACTAGTTGGTTAATCACGCTATGATTAGAAACCATCTGCAGATAGGGATTGGGAAGTTGATGCGGTTGCTCTCCCAAAGAAATCGATACAATAAAGAACGCTCTATTAGGCTCAAATGGTTACTAACAATGCATATAGTAGTTAAATTGTGTTACACTGGAGCCGATAACAATTTTGATTGAAGACTAACTTAAGAACTGCACTAACCGACCACACAATCCAGCTTTTGAAATAATTGGCCTTTAAAGTTGCGACAATTTTATTCAAGGCATTAGTGTAGGATATTGCACTTTGAGGTGAGGCATTTGAAGGCAAAAACGTGTTTTTCATGTACACAAAAGATCGATGAAAGTTTAAAAAAAGGGGCTAATAAAATGGCACAATTAAGGAAAAAAATGCGGGACTGGTTGAATTCTTCAAGTTAGTTGAATAAGGCAGAAGTGAGACTAAGGAAGATGTTCGCTCGAAGATATCCACACTTGGGGTCCTTTGTTGTCTTGAATGATTTCTCGGATCCTCTCAAGGCCTTTATCGTAGTCATCAACTGTTAAAATAGCTGGAAGAGAAAATCACAGGTGGTTTAGCCGTAACAAAATGGGTTCGAGCAGGAAACAAAACCTAGCCGTATGCGTTCAGGAATATACAGATATGGTAAGCCTAAGTACTCGTTTTACTAATCAGGCCGCCTACTGAGAACCCCAATTTACACTGGTTTTGGTTGTTTACTCCCAACGTCTGATGACTTGATGGCTGAAAGTGACGCTTGAAGGTTGCGTCTGAAGAGGACCACCCCAGACGAGCTAAGGTGGTGCAGGTGACCCCAGAGCACACCGGTGCATTCGTCAATACTTAAAGGTGGTTGGCCATCAAAGGAGCTCGTGAGGGAAGGGCAAGCATATTAACACTCTGTATCAGCAAAGGATAGGGTTGCGTGAGTTTGACGCGACAGCGAACAGATTTTGTAGTCCTTTCGCACGAGAGCACTGTCTAGGTGTTCAGACAGAATGAGTTGCAAGAAGACTAGCTTTTGGCAACAGTGGGGCATCGTGCATGAAAATTGCATAGCTTAGCGCACATCGAAGTCACTTTACCGTTTGTTGCGGCATTGTTACCAGTAGGACTAGATCAACAACACAAAAATGGGGAATTCCAAACAAGTATAATCGAGCAAATAGAAGCAAAATAATGGCTTTTAAATTTAAAAAAAGGAGTAAGGAACAGCAATAGCAGACCTGTAAGTAGGAATGAATAGTCTCTCAAAAATTCGAGTTCTTTTTCCCTGCTTCTTGAACGCACGTGCGAACAGATTTCTGTTCGTTTAGAATCTTCACTGGCGGGATTCAGGACACGCACAGTTTGGTTGCTCAGGTGGGAAAGAACGAATATTGCTATTGGCGGAAGCCCAGCAGCCGTCAGCCGCTGCATCGCCAATCCCCCAACGTCCAGGAGGCAGTGAAAACCAGAGGAAGCCACTTTGAAGACTGATTGGATGTGAGTCCCGTAGAGATTGCCGTTATACTCGCCGGCTTCAATGTAGCGGTTGAGGTTGATTTCTGACTCCATTTTGGAACGGGACTTGACGAAGTGATAGTCCCGACCATCAACTTCACCGTGTCTTCGGTGTCGAGTCGTGTCTGTAAAGCGCCACAGACGATCAACAACTCGTCAGAGTTTGACGTAGCACACGCAGACACAGAACAGGGGAACTTTGCCAGCCATGTACTAAACAAGTGCATTTTTGGTGCAACTAAAACACCTTACCAGATTTGCTGAAATAATGCCAAGTCACCTAACATCGATGCCAATAAATTTCTAGATGCTGTTTAATTTGATTGAAGAGCACTGAGTTGGGAAGTTAAGAAAAGCAGCCCCGAGGACAGAGAGTTTCCAATGTTGCGGCACTTACGTGGGACGCATGTGCTGAAGTCGCGTGGGAAGTCCGCGAGCAGGTCCTCAGTTATGCTGTACATGAGGTCACCAAGGATGACGACGGGCCGGGTGTTGATTGTTCGCACGGAAGTCACGGGAATGTAGGTTAGAAGTCGAGGCCCCTTTACAGACTCTGACCCTTGGTTTACAATAACGGGAATAACTTCAGCCCATTCATCAAATTAAGCAGTTACATTTATTCTGAGTTGGGAAACAAGTTAAATACGCTACTTTAAAATGCTGTTTTTCGTCAATAAAGTAGGCTTTACTGAACCTGAATCAAGAGCTTATCTGCCACCAGCAATTGAACAACGTCTTGTAATCTCACCCTAATCCCTAAAGAAAACCGACTCTCTACTGAGAGTTGCTCATTGCTATGAGGGACAAGAATTGTTCATTGCTAGGCCAAATGAATAGGGTAGCTGGGTGAAAATAGACAATACAAATTTCAAAACGTTTGCTTGTGTATGGCTCTACGACATGTCTGTGTGTAAATAGTCCATTTTTGGACTTGACATCTCTCCTGAACTAAAAGACGACTGCTTCACTGACTTTTGATCTGTACTCCAAAGGCAAGCAAATGTGGGAAGATTCCATGCTTCGAAGGTCCACAGAGGGTTCGAGGACTAAACGCAGGTTCTCAATTATGACAGATCACAGAGTCGCAAAGACTGATAATCAGTAGTGTCACGGCCAATTTATTTCGTGAACTCAATCATGACTGAAGAGTGGCGATTAAAAATTACGTACACCGTACCAGAGAACCCGCCTTTGGAGTATTACCTCTGCTGTCTGCTACTAAAGTGATAAAAGATTTGCACATTGTCGGATTAATTTTAATCTTTGATTATTTGGGCATTTGTAATGTGGCCGATACAAATACGCCACTGACGTGTCACATGACGAGTTGTGTCTCGACCCGACACGACCACGTAGGGCACAAAAAATGGACAAGGCCGGCACACGTGAGCTGACACGTACGCACGCTGATCAGCGCGCCCAGGCCATAGAAGGCTGCCCACCAGGGGTGTCAGTGAGAAAAGCCCCAGTGCTAAGCTCAGGTGACGAGCTTAAAACCTGGGAAAGGGCGCCAAAAACAATTGTAATGTGCGCTAGATTAGAATTCCTACAAAGACAGGCTTGGAATAAAAAAAACTAACGTATGAATGCATCCGAAAAGCATGCTACTAATGACCCTTTGCTCGGTTGAGTAATTTGACCAATATTTAACCCAAGACCTTGTTTATTCGGTAAGGGAAAAATCAGAAGTAATAAAAGCGTAAACGAGAGATCTCTCTTAAATGTATAAATTTTGGAAATGGAGAGGTCACGGAACTCACTCGCGCGTGTGTTTGTGCGTTTTTTCATCGACTTGGACGGGGCCGTTGAGGGGTGCCAATTGGTCGTTCCTTTTTTGATACTAATTAACGGGGAGTGCTTAGAAGAAAAGCTAGGAGCGTCTGATTGCGAGAGGTTAATGGACTTGATGGCCTTGTCTGTAGATTGGGGGTCACTGATGATGGAGGAACCAGTTTCGATGCTTGAGTCAAAGGAACGAGTCCCCCGCCCAAATCTGAGCTCCCACTTGGCCTGTTCCTGACGTTCCAGCCGTCCTCGACTTGGAACTAATCCGGTGGGACCCAGCGGCTTGCATGTAGAGGGGTGGATGGTCCGTGCCTTAAATGTGAAGCAGTCTTTTCGACAGTTAATTGTGAAAGCATGGCTCTTTGTGTCTCGAGGGTTGTTGAGCAACCAGGACCATCTACAGTCGGATAATGAATCTATCGCCAGAAGTATTAACGAACACGAACCTTCCAGACATGAGATAAGCCATGATAAGACAGAGCCGGTTTAAACGTATCGTAAACTGCATCCAGAAATTGAGCATCTTTGACAGTTCTTTCCTTTAATTGAACACATTACTGTCATCTTCGACTCAGAAATAAACTCTCAGTTAGCTATTCTTTGAATCATTGCAGTTGGTTTTAATGTTAACACATATTACTGTCACACATCCCTTCACAGTCGTCAGTCAGTTTATTTCTAGAATGGCCTCAGAGGTTAACCTCTTTATTGTGCAAAATCAACCGCTAGACAGGCTTTCCACAAATATGCCATACTCTACACAAAAGGGACAGCCCGGAATCCAAAACACAAACAGAATTGATAAGTCCAGCACCACCCTTAACAGTTTATTTGACTCACCGCAGCCAGACACTTAAAAGGATGCCAAACAAAGCTTTATGGATTTTAGTTGCTATAACGTCACTGAATATCTCACGGTTTGAGTTTGCGAGGAAATGAAACAATTTTAATAGCAGAAATGTTGCATGCAAATCTATTGCTCTAGAACAAAATTAGTAGTGTTGTATTTTACTCGGAAAGTAGACCCCAAGAAAGCACATCAAATTTGAAGGGACGTCTGTTTTATTTAAATACACGAAATACACTGGATATAATTAACGTACCTGCCACCATTCGCGGTCGCTAATATTGAGGAGCTGGAGAATATCGCCCGACCGGATGGAAATGGCTGACCGCGGGACGACCTGATTTGGCCCCGTCACGGTGCGGGGATCGAAGTCGACGAGAACGCGAACAAAGAGGCCGTCCGCCTCAATGGAATGTCGAATTTTCGCCATGCCTTGGCCCTCACTGCCTTCGCCTTCACGATTGTCCGAAGGAATGTCGGAGTTGTCCGTCTGCTGGCGGATTTGGTCTTCGAACTTCTTATACTCTTGACAATTTGAAACAGGACAATGAAAGTAGGACTGTCATGCGCCTTCAAGTAAAAGTTTTGTATTTCCAAGATAGGTTATAGTTTCACTTGTTTACAAAGGGGAAATGCCAGTAAAATACAATAATTTTAAGAGCTAGAAGGGCTTCACAGGTCTAGCACAACTTTCGCAACATTTACCATGATTTCAAAAGGATGAAGCGTGGCCTTAGAAACAAAATGCATATGAAAAACCAAGTTTGATAAAAATGTTTCAATGTTTGTATTTTAACACCGAGGATTAAAATTCAACAAAAAATAACAACCATGAAATATCTTTTAGAGTACGCAAGAGAGCAACATGACAAATTATGGTGCCTCGTTATCATCTTGCATTTCAGGGACTTGAAGGCCGTGAAACTGCCAACCACCACCCGCATATTGGCGAGAGTGACACGTGGAAGGAGATCTGCGGTTCACGTCGGAAAGTCCAGGGAGCCGTAGTGAAACAGGAGTATGGTAATATGATAGTATTTGAAGATTGAAGTTAGGCCTTGTATGTCCCGTCTGTCACTTTGCCAATCGGACAATAAAGGGACAAATAAGCGGTTCACTCATTTAGATCGTTGATTTGATTGAAGAGAAATGAGAGTAGAGTGAGGTGAGAATCATTTTTGGGGTAGTATCAGCAGCGGTACATGATTCGTGGTTTACCAACGCAACTTCCCTCCTTCATTTTGAGCAGATCTTGATCAAAGCAAATAAAGGATTACTTTCTCTATGAAACGTTGATTATAGGTCCCAAGGGAATCGGTTTTAGGAGGGCTCTTCGACATTATATTCGTGTGCAAGTGGCTCTGGCATTGCACAAGGTACGGATACCATGTTAGAGGCTAGAGAGGCAGAAACGCTGATGTGATGCTCCATCTCTCTCTAACTCCTTTTGTCCTGAACGACCCACCTGTTAAAGTGGACTAAGTAGATGACTGGAAACGCCAGTCGAATTGGCGACTGAGGGTACCGCTGAATGCAAAGAACGTTGCCACTCACGAGGACATTAATCCAAAGGCCTACGGAGCGTGTGCTTTACATCCAGACAGCCGAGGATTTATGCTGACTGTGCAGTCGACGACTCTACAAGAGACCTGTGTCGTGCACTTGTGCTTGGCAAATTCGATGAAGCAAAATTGGATGTGAGGGAACCCCACGGGTCGGAGAGTGGACCAGAAAGCTCTCTGGTTTGGTCAACTTAACTCGTGAGATAGCGTTTGCATTTTTTGGTACTGACAAAAGCAAAGCTACGCAATCAGATGAATGCTCGGGTATTGGGAGAATTCTAGAGGTGGTTCGCATCAGGAATGATAAGACTTTTGGAGTTAAGGAAGCCAGTGCTAGATCACTCTGAGAGGTGCTGTAATTGTGCTAGGCTGACACTAGGGTCTCTTTCAGTTGCCAACTGGGAGCCATTCACCCGAGTCCACTTATAAACCCTCTCTTGCGATTTGAAAATATCGCCTGGCAGTATGAAGGAATACCCAGTTAGGAACAGGAAGCTCCAATCTTCCTCCCTGACTGTGGTGTGGCCATTTGTCAGTAGCCTTGACATTCACGTGTTCAGTAGGAATGTATATTCTCTGAAACCAATGTACCTCAGGGGCTTGATGGATTTTTTTAGAGGGAACAGGTTGACCAGCTCTGAAACATTGTTATTTTGGATGAATTTAGCACATTAAATATTCTGGCCTGCCAGTTGCGACAAACTTTGAAACGCTTAATTAGCAGAAGTGGAGTTTACGGACAAAGATGGAGATTTTTATCTACGCTGTACCGAAATCCACGAGGCGAATTCGCGGTTTAGGCCATGCTAGCCTAAAATGACATTTCGTGTGCCGCACACCGCACACGAATGTTAGTTCAAAAACCAATATTCAGGAAGAGATTCGAGGTCAAAGAGGACAAGGGTGAGTTTGTAAGACTTTGCAGATTCAATTTAAGACGTTAGGGTTCGTTTAAATGCCGTCGATACAAAATGGCAAATAAGTGTATTCCTACAGATAGGTAAATAGAAATTGGACGGTTCAGTAAACCATAAGTTCATTCTAGAGCAGAAACTTGTGTAGATGTACGTAATCCTCCTTCTCTTGCAAAATGCCCTAGTTCCGAGTAACTAGTCAAGAGTCGTGCGTACATACAAAAAAATTAGAAAACTGTCGAATAGCGGACCTGTTCAGTTAATCCAAATGTTTCTGTCTGGCAGACTCAAAAGCACAACATACTCAGATGATTTGCACGGAGTCGATGTTGCCCTCAAATGCAGTCAACCAAACAATCAAATGCGTAAGTATTCGAGATTTATAACCCTGCAATTAGAACCTAGGCCAGTACCGAACTATCCTAATGTCATCAGTACAAACGAGTGACGTCGATTTTCATCCATTCAATAACTTTTTTGGCGAAACAATGCAAATAATCTACAGACAGAAAAAGTTAACAAGTTGATTGCATTAAATGTCATTAATGTACACAAAATCAAGAAATTTATTTCATAAAATTATCATCAGTAAACTGTGGTAAAATAATTAGCATTGGGGAGCAAGAGCTTTTGTACTGACATTAAGAAGTAGCAGTGGTTGCGTGGGTTTGGCCACCACTTCCAAGCTAAGTCATCGCACACATTTAAGGACGGCCACCGTCACCGCTCATCGGGACGCAGACAAGTGGATGGTAAAGGGAAGAAGAACGTCCACTCCTTCAGTGGCTTGGATTGCCACTAGGTGCAGCAAACCATCTCCTCGGCTGGGTTGAGTCGCGTTAGCCCTAACAGCGACAACCATCAGTGTATAGTTGCTGCCCTACGGGTGACAAATCACGTCGTCCAGACGTCCAACTGCTTGGAGTTAAAGCTCCAACGCACAGACTTAAGTACATGAACACAAGTAAACTATGCATTTCCTGCAGACAGCACCGAAACTGCTAGCGCCAGAGATCTCATTTCAGCAGACCCCAATAAAATCTTCCGATTAAAGAGTGATTTAGAATTTTAAGATCTTCATGTACAAAAGTTGTCCGTTAATCGAACTGCTTACCTAATAATTCTGGGTCAGAATGAGTAGTTGCAGGTAGGTTTGTGGTTAATGGCCAATCTTCGAAAAAAATTGACAGTGCCAGGGACAAATCGCTCGCATCAAGTTATCAAAGGTCTGGAATTTTAAGCAATTAAAAATGCAAGTTTTCCACCACCTTGAAGTATGCTCCTTTAGGAAAAAGGCTTGATTTTCGGTGAAATTCACCCAGCGTGTTTTTTTAAGGGATTTACTTCAGTAATTGGATTTCTTTCATTCTTGCACGAATTTAAACGCACTGTCCAACTGAGATTTGAACGCGACATTTTCCTCAAATCAATCCCCTTAACCTAGCTAATAGAACGCAGTAGTCTAAATTATTCGCATCAGCAGTACTCAATTTTAGATAGAGCCAACGAAAAATGTTGGTTTACCAGCAAACCACAAAGAAAGATTCGTGCTCCTTGATTTGAAGCAGTCAAGAAAGCATGGGCTCTAGAGAACGCATCCGATTAGTTAGGAGCACGCGTAATCAAAAACAAAACGATGTTTCAGAAGGCTGGTGCCATAGTGACGTGTCTAAGTTAATGAAAGAAGATGGAACTGGCTAAAACTTGATTACGAAATGATATAAATAGCAAATCACGAATAGTTTTTAAAACGACAAAGTAGTACGAAAACTCTGGCATACAATAACGGCAAATTGATCCGAAAACTGAGTTCTGAACACAATCGAATGAAATTAAGAACGGCATGGCCAATGAACAGAACGATACCGATGAAAATCGAATGTATGCACAATTTCGTTAACATCTCTTCTGGTAACTAGCAATAGGGTAATTGAAGCATGCATAACAAATAACCGCTAACTTTTCGTTCACAAGGACGTCAAATAAATTAGTTAACTCACCATCTGGGACGTAGGCAAGGATGAGGTCCACTCGTGTGGGGGCCATTTTCAAAAGGATCGCAGCCTCCTCGTGATTTGAACCAACAACTTCCGTTCCGTTAACCTACACACGGGAATCAGGAGTTTAGTTAGTAATCAATTCACACGCAAACCGCTTCGGAATTAGGCAAACGAAAGAAGGTATTTGGAACGCGCCGAAGGGGGAGAACGATCTAAGGAATTATGAAATTTCACTGATTAGAATTTTATGTTCAAGGACGTTTTTTATTAGTATGTCATCTATTACAAAAAAATCGCATAAATAGGATAAGAATGAGTGTTTTGCCCAAAACGGACATGCGGTATGGTTAGAGTCAATGTCGGAATAACTATTCACACCTCGTCACAAATCATTAACAGCAATTGGAAAGCTTCTTTCTTATATTGTGTTTAAATCATTCCACGTTTTCTTAAAGAACTGCTTGAACAACGAGCCTCGAAAGTGGTCGAAGCAGAGATGACGTTGCACTTGGCCCCAGCGCAATTTCAACCACTTAGTAGATAATGGAATCGCATTTTTCAAAAGTAAACCCTCCACTGTGCTTAGAAAGCTAATTTTAGGCAGCCGTTGAAGTAAAGAATAAGTCAAAGAAGGAACTGCATTACAAAAAGCACCAGGAGACATTAGTGTTCTTCAGTTCTAGTGGCCGAATCGGTGGGGGTCAAAAGTGCTAGGAATAGGTGCGTTTTTATCCACGCACTAAGTGGACTTATTCTCTATTTTTATGTAATCTAAGGATTAAATTTGTGTTGTGAATAAAGCTTGTGGTTCACGTGAGAGTGTTAAATTATGGGGCATGTTTGGGGTTTACTAATGCAACAGCGAGACCTCGTAGACTCGGAGTTCGGCGGCTACAAACCACCTAACGGGCAACTTTTGAACCTTTAGCTTTTCTGTGTATGACAGCAATACACGCGAGCTGTTCAACAAATGAATTAAGTGGTGCTTAATCTGCCTTTGGGAGATTTGGTTTTGCAAATGTCGACTGTGGGTTGGCTCAGACCCTAAAATTATGTTGCTGCTCGAGTTATTGCCCATTCTGTACGACTGGTAAATCAAACCCCAGCATATTTACCGTCTTCTAAACAGCCTAACTGATTTAAAATTCTAAGGAAATTCCTCCTGAGTCCTGAAAAGGTCTTGGTACATATACGTGAATAGAACAAACGTGGTGTGAACGCGAGAGGAACACAAATCTCCAGTGGTGTGTGTGTGTGTGTGATTGCGTTTCAATTGGCCAGAGAAAAAGTGCGCGAGGTTTGCGACACAAATACGCACCACGACTGTGGGCTTGAGTTACTCAATGTGAGGCATGAGTACTGATTAGACCAATGGTAATTTGCCAAGGGAGTGTCACGCACATCCCTTTAGGAGGGTGAAACAATGTAACATTAAAATCCACTACAATAATCACGCAAGATAAAACGACGGATATTCGGGCCATGCATCACGGAAAGTATGGCCTGTTGCCGGATATTGGTTCAGCGTAGTAAGGTGTGGTATCTTCAGGCTATGCGCTACAGAAAAATAATGGGTATAGACTTAAGTCTACAGTGAGGTGGTAACGGACGAAGTGGAGGGAGACGGGCAAATCACCTCACAGAAAAAAGATCAGGGTTTTCAGAAGCCACGTGGTCGCAGTTGTTTGACACGTAGAAAAATCTGGCTTAGGCAGTCGGGACCAAAGTCAACATATAGACTTCAGGAAGTGGTGAGAAGACTGAGGGTGGCGGTGACACGAGTTTTAGTTATTCCTATTGTGTAGTCAGAGTTATGCATTAAGTTAACAAGCATTTAGCGATTATTGAGGTAAAGTGAGAAAATCAAACCATCGCATTCGCCATCGTCAGTAGTGAATGCATAAAATGGGTGATGTAACTGCATCTAAATTGATGATAGAGACAAACCACACTCATAATGAATTATTTTATCACAAATTTAATAACGAAAAAACTACAACAGCAGCTTTTCAGGTACACAAGAGCAGATAAAATCAACGAAGTTAGTTATTATGACTAGTTATAGCGGGGGCTAAAGTCAATTTCTTAAAGCAATCGAGATTGAAGTGAAAGAAATACCATTTAACGTTTTAGATTTGTACAAAAATCACCTCTACAGGAATTACCCTAGCAACAATCACAAACATCAACCTATAACCAATTTTATAAAAGAGCTTTTCACGACTAGGAAATAAGCAGACACAGAAGGTAATCCATAAGAAGGAATTCATGCATTCGAATAAATAAACGAGTAATGTCTGCTTAGTCGAGGTTTATTCAGACTTCCTATTTCTGACCTGTTTGTTCCTAAGACGGACGGAATAGTTTGGGTTATGTTGTGGTGACATTGAAAGATTAATGCACGGAGGGAGTGAGAAAGACGGATTTGTGGTGTATTATTCACTTTGCCAGATCCCGCATACAGGCTTCACAGGGTGAAATTGCTGCGGTGGCCGTGCAGACGAGGAGCAAATTTTAAATTAATAAAAAGGGGATTGCTGAGGTGGAAGTAGATGGTATTTGAAAAATAAATTGAGTCTATCCGAAAAGACTTTGGCTACATGGATTCTGACCTCGAAACGGACCAAGGTAAGGATTCCTAGCGCATTGCGTTGGACGCGATGAGGTGTGTTTACTCACCACAAGCAAACGATCGCCAACAGATATGGCCTTTGACCGGGCGGCAGGGCTGTCAGCGTGGATGTGCGAGACGTAAATGCCGTCGGCACCATCGCCACCGACGATGTTGAAGCCAAGGCTTCCGCCATTACCGACGGAAGATGCTCCAGATCCGTAGTCCGATGTTGGGCACTCCTTGTACAGCGTCACTAGTCGAGCCTTTGGCCACCGCAAGAGTACTGATTCAGGGACTGCGCAGGCGGCAGCATAGTCGTCTGTGGGATGAGTGGTTTGATGTAAAAAAATAATGAAGTTCTTAGATTTCCAAACATCGGGTGAGCAATGGGAAGAGACTAAAATTTTAAACTGAACTCGGCTACGTAATTTCAGGAAGGAATATTGGATTGATTTAGGCGAATTGATCCCACGAAAATGCTTATTCACCTCTGCTACACAGACACACAAAATTATTTCCTAAATGCATGAATTTTTCAAACATTGCCAGATGTTCAGGATTAAATTCACCTTTAGACCGTTTTGGTTACTATAGTTTCATTAACAATTTAATTGGCTATCTCAGTCCATTAATTTATCTAGCATTTCCAGTTGTGGTAAGTACAAGTGAAAAAAATTATGCTGTACCATCTGAGAATGCGGTTTGAGAAGTGGTTTTTGCAGAGTAAGTCAGAGAATACTTCAACTAACGACCGTACACATTTCGCAAAGTTTGTTATAGTACTTTGGTAGTCATTTTGTTTAATAATATCTATCATTAGAACAAGTTAGAGTCAGAATGGGCTTTTATGGCATGCTTGCACTGCCTTTTGTGGCTCTCACTTTCGTCAGTATTGTTCTACCCAAAAATCCCAATTAGGTACTAAAGGGAACAATCGTAAAACAATCGCAATGTTCGTCTAGTCACCGGTTTAAGGCACTAATGAGCAACAACAATCCATCTGAACAAAGTCGGTGATTAGTGGTTATTCGAAGGAAAAATAAGGTTCTGGAGATATCATTGGCTTTTAAAAAATTATCGTACACTTCCGAAGTCATTCTTGGCCCGTTTTCTTCAATTATATACAGTCAACTACCAAGAGCTCTAGAACCACCAACAATCTGAACCGAAAATTAACCTAACTATCATAACATTACGTGAATGTGATTGTGTGAGTCAAATGTGTAAGATCTAACGAAAAAAGGAGTATAGAGATCTACTATAAGTGTAATCGAACCGGCCCTTGGTACATAATCCAAGATCTTTTTGTGTAGCTTTATGCTGATGCCACCAGATGCAGCTATGATGTGATTCCATTCTCCGTTCATAAAAGCGAGCTATGGTCCATCAAAGGAAAAATTTGTTGGTTGCCTGTTTTGATTTCACTGGCAGTCACATTTTGAAGGCCAGTGCGATCACAAGCTACACGAGCCTTAAAATGGACTCTGACATCAAAACCAGCACCGATTTTTTCCACACAAGCAGATGGATCACCGTGAATACCAACACCAATCGACGCCCGCTGGGGACCACCAGCGCGCGTAAACCACTCGAGAGGGTGCGAACATGGCACATTCAAAATGGTCGACCTGAGCCCTCATCCCGGTCACAGCCTAAACGCTTCGCTTTCGCACCACTATCCTTTTCAAATATACTTCTTACTTAACAAGATTACATCTGGTAGTGTTACGGGAGCAGAATTGAGCCGTTTGGGTTAGTGCTGATAACCATCGTTGGCTGTTTGGAAATATAAGCCTTTCAGATAACAGTTATTCGACAATTTGAAATCCTGAAAAAAGATATGTGAGGGATTCAGCAAATGGATAGGGGTTACACGAACTTCCTTATCAGCTACAACATTTTGAATTTTACAGACTAAAGAAACATCCCTACTCTCGCCCGAAGTAGTGGATACGCGTTTAGTCATTCCATACCACTGGAAGTGAACATTAAGATGTAACATAAGAAAGAAAATAAAAAAGGCAAAGGACCTGTTTTCTTTAAGTAGCCCAGTACACACCAACGGCCCAGTTCCACGCCTACATGCTTGAAGATCGCTAGGGTTGATTTGTTGATTTGGAAAATGTAAAAAAAGTCAAATCCAATTTAGGGTGTGTCCGAAGGCACAACAGGCGGCCAAAGTAAACGCGCACATGCAACATTGTTTGCAACAAACGTGAAAAAATAACGAGGACACGAGATTTAGGCTGGTTGGTAGGTGGACAAGCTATTGAAATCGAGTCGTCCCACACACGAACAACAAAACGTGGCGCATCGGGTTCTACTCACGGGGAACGCATTTGAATTTCGATGCCCAGTCTGTAGATGCAGGCTTGGTGTGCAACTCAGGACTGACGTGAAGCTGTCCTGCAATATCGGTGGAAAACTTCGAATTCATATTAAATTGGAATCAAATGTAACTAAGGGAAAGTGTAGGCAGAAGAAATTAGCTTTTTCGAGACAAACTGGCATCGCAGAACAAAACAAAGCAAATGGCTCAAGTAAATCCCAATAAAAATTAAGTTGGGTCGCTTTATTTATCGTCGCTGAAATTAAAAAAAAGGAGGTATCATTTGAAAATCAGTTTAATGCCGTCAAGACATGATATACCCTAACTTATTTAGTCCCCTTGTTGAAGTCAATTTTGTCATTCGGAAAAAAAATTATTGCGGCACCAACTTTCCCCAGATTCCAAGCGCACAAAATATTATGAGGGAAAGTCACCATTCACCTGGTCCGCTTGTAATTGTGGAAACGGGAACAGCCTCCACCCGCATGTTAGAAGGTCCCAAGCTGCTGGTCTGTGGATGATGGCGTGTGGGCTTCCGCTTTCGCGACCTTTGTTGGCGAGATGGTCTCCTGCACGCAGCACTTCTCGCCGAAGTCTGTGAGGGCTGAACGATTGGAGTTTGCTCCTCACCACTCCCTGGGGTGTTTGGCAAGGCTTGTAGGTTTTGGACGGTCTCTGTGCGGGAATTAACTGTTACTTTAATTCTAAAACAACTACGATACACGAGAAGAGGTGCGTTGAAGAGCGTTTAAGTTTTCAAACCTCGCAAAGATATTTCGATGAGAATATGAACCAGAACAGGGTTGCTTTTATACATCGATCGCTAAAACTAAACTTTGAAAAGCAATGCGAAGTAATAAATGCCTTTGAACAACCGTCACAGTTAGTAAAACACCCGTTGACTGGTCAAGAGGGTCCTGATTAAGAGGTTGCACCAAGTGAACGATAATAATATGGACCACATTTAACTGCATGCAATATTAATCATTTTAGAACGAAGGAAGGCAGAAGACGCCCATTGAGACAAATATCCCACTATGGATGCGCTGACGTCAGATGCAAGTCACAATGCCTGTCAGACTTTGGTGTGTCAATGGATTGTGTTCGTTTAACCATATGGTCGTTTTGTGCACCGTTAGTAAAATGAGGTAGTACGGAAACCGGGCTCCACACTTACTCATCGTTAACCATGTGGCAGTACTAAATTCGTTCAACCGAATTCGCCTTGTACCGACTTGATTGGCTATTACTAACTAGGTCATGACGTTAAATGAAAGCATGTTGTTCCTAACAACAAAGGTAGAAAAGGGGCACTGCCTGAGCTGCCACGTTGGAAGTCCATAGGATGGAACACTGTTCTGCCTGTGAGGGAAAATGATTTGATCATTTTGCCTTCATTTGTTAAAACCTGTCTGGACGGTAACTTGGGATTGCTCATTACGACCATGGGATCAAGTGGATTTGAGACTGCATCAGTTAAATGATTGGTCAGTGACCGCGAGATTTACCTAATGCCAATGCTCGACCACAGTCGTCGTTTCGCGATTAATACTGAATCCCGATTCGTGCTGAGGTCTGGCACTGGGCTCGACATTATGCTGCGTAATTGCCCGCATCAGACTATTGTGTGGTTAGGTCAACGAAATACTATCTGGCGAGAAAGAATGAAATAGGAAATTTTAATAAAGTTAGTTTTCGGAAGTCCGAATTTCCCGAGTCATTGAAAAAGACACCGACTCTATACATGAAATAAGAGAGAGTTCACTTCTACAAAAGAAGTTTTAAAACGAGAATAAACAGGTTGCCGAAATTATAAAAAGTGTTTCCTACGTTTTAAACTTGGGCATTGTGGTGTAAAGTTCACACGGGCTGTTATGCGATCAGGCCAGACCGAGGCGAAAATAAAAAGTCGGTGACTAAGGCATTGTAAAACCCTGTCTAAGTCGAGGCTTACTTTAGGCTACTTTTAATGGGAATCCCGGCACTATTATTTTTAAGCTGAAGTAATATCGGTTTAATTAAGTCATTAAACAGAATGCCGACCCTGGCACTGGCGACAGTTAAGCCGTTGAGATGACTGAAGAGAAGCCTTGACAAGAAGGAGGAGGGCGAAATCTCCGGCATTTTGGAGCGTTTCAACAGCCTCCTCGTGAGTTACGTTCACCAGCGAGACGCTGTTCACCCGAAGTAGACGATCGCCAACAGCGACGCGCCCACTGGAGTCCGCTACTCCTCCTGGTGTGACCTGTAATAGCATGAACTGATTCAGGATGGTGCCACATCCCGCTAACTAAGTTTGCCATCAAGCATGCTTTGAAATATAAACACCAGTGAGAACTTCAGTGTGGGTGATTCTCCTACGAGGTTTCTGTCACAACCACCAACAGTGGTTTCTGTCCCTTAGAGTCGAAGATGTTCGTACAAATGAATTTATAGAACCAATGTTTTGACCTGTCAACAGCCATTATTAAATACTGATGTACATGTAATATTGACGGTTTTGAGAGAAAGGGATTCTTCTGGTTCCGTCTTCGTGAAGCAGGCAACCAATCACAGCATCACTCGGCCCATTTTAGATCAATCACAACTATTTAGCAAACCCAAACATTGTCATCATTGTCAAACAAAAGCGTGATCTACGTATTGAATTTTGGTATTTGAAGAAGTGTACTTCCAAGAATATAAAGCTAAACGCACTAGAATTACACGAAGGCATTAGGGATTGAACAATGAAACCCAAGGATTAATACGGACCATCAGTTGTTTCATGAATCAACTTATGAAGTGAGTGTTGCTGTTTACAAGCTTGCATCTTTTTTATGATGGTAGAAGTTTTATAAGAAGACAGAGATACCATGCGGCTCACACCACATTATCGGTAGAAAGTATTCGCCTAAGGTTCACAGTCTGACTGAACTTAGCCGGTTCTTATTACGAAGACTTAAAATTGTCCGTATCTAAGTAAGACAGATGCAACCAATCATTAACACACACACACGTGTGAAATTTCGTTCTCTCAATGGGGTGGGCTAATTGACCATTCTCCCACCCACAAAGAGTAAATTAGACGAGAGTGGACATCGCATGAAATTTGAAGGTCGATATGACTCGCCGAGCACACTGAGTCAGGCTTCCCGATTCGTAACACACATGCACCAATATGACCATTTGAGTATCTCATCCATATGTGCACTTCCTTTTCAAGTCATTTTAATAAACGACTACAACACAAAATCAATGGAAGGGCAGTCTTCGATGATCTACTCGTTTTCTGCTCAATTGAATTTGCTCAAACATGCAATAAAATCAGTGCGGCTGGTTGCCAATACGTGGGAAATCCTTGTCCACCTTAACTACCTAAAACTTAGAAATGCACCAAAAAATCTTCACGTGATCCTTAAGTTTCATTCTGGGAAAACAAGCAAATGTAGAAGTGAATGGGTCGCGTCCCAAAGAACATTGCAGAATGTCAAAGAAAAAGCAATTGGCTTGGTGTAAAGCAAAAACCTAGACATTGGACAAATACCTGAGTGATGAAGACACCAGAATCACCCTCCATGAATTCAGTTCCGATACCACCAGCAATGCGGAACCCAAACCCTGCCCTGGTACCTCTGATCAATGGGACCTCGACAATGACTGGTCCGGGAGAGGGGTTGGGCAGGGGCCGGTCAGATATGCCCCGCGTGCTGACAGAAGTTGCTTTGTTGACGTTTGAGGTTCTTTCATGGTGACTTTTAATGGCCGGCTGGGGGGCAGTTGAGCTCTCGGCTATCAAACTATTGCTATTCGACCTGTTCAATAATAATTGAAAAGTTAGGGAAAGCTTGACGTTGAACACTGTTGTACGTCATAGTGAATTCTATCAGAGTATGTTAATCCGCTTGTTTTGACTGAAACTACCCTGCTTTACTAGTAAACATATATGCACTGCGTTCCACTTTGTTGCAGACTTCATCAGTCTGATGTAGCTGCGCCGTCTTTATACCTGCCATGCGCCTGGCATATTTTTACGTTTGTAATCTTTGTAAACGGACAAATGCAAAAACATTCTTTTGTTCATAGACATCTAGGTGGAACTTCCAAAAGGAAATGATGTAAGATTTATCAGAATCAGTTAGCGTGGGCTATGGGAGTACCATCTCAGTTCGTCTACATTTACTCACTCTGAAAAAGCTTCCGGTTCTCCACAGTTGGGGGTTTCATTTGTCAGTGAGAACGACCTCCTATTCATAGTTTTATCGGGATCAAAGAGCCAGATGGTATCATCTTTGTCTTCCTTCTCACTGCCTGTCGCTTGGCTCTCCTTCGTCTCTTCTGCCACTTGATCATTCACCGCCGTCGCCACCGCCGTCGACGTTCTTTTCCTCCCAGCAGTCTCTCCCGAGGGATTTTGGCAAGAGGTAAAGAGAGATGACAGAGGCGATACGGTGGTCGGCAAGGCTCCACTGGATTCGGATGATGAATTTGATGTAGTGGGTAAAAGAGGGCAGTGCGAGAGCGAAAAAGCAGCCAGACGTGACTTGCAGGCAGTGGGTGCTGTTTGAGCATCACGCACTTCATCTCCACTCCTGACAGAATGAAAGCGTCTGGTTGCCGTGGTGGAGATAGGAGGCGAAGACAATGATGGAATGGGCCGACTAAACTCGTGACTAAAGACGGTCGAGGGCCGTTGAATATCCTTTATGGGGTTATACAAATTAGGATAATCAGAAGACTTCCCCGTATTTTATAGAGTAGGTCATAAATATAGGTCAAAGGGAGTCAAAATCTCCAGGACCAAAGCATAACATGACCACTCTTAGTCGAAGGCAAAATAATTTGAGGATGTTGCAGGTAGCAAGGAAGACAAGTAATTTTTCATTACACTAAACAAAAATAGATCAGCGATAAAAATCACTTGACAGCAAGATAAGAAACCCACAACTTACAAATTGTCTCTCTTCTCTGTTATCCACATGCCTCAAATGTCACCTTATTATCCATCAGTTTCTGATGCTTACACTTTCCACAAGTAACTCAAACAATCTTTAAGTTTAAATTAATAAGTTAATTCAGTGAATCCAAACTCCATCGAAGATCAGTTTTTGGGTTCGAAAAAGTTGAACTTAGAACCAACATCGTTTATCAATGCCTGAGCATGCGTCTGACATGAGTATTTAAATTAACGTGTTGACACGGCAGTTTTAAAACTTCATTTCAACACAGGGGTTTTTATTCGCGATGGAAAATCACATGAACGATCGCATACGAATCTACTTTATTTGGGTCATTTTGGTTTGTACTCCTCAAATTAGCTGTTCTCCTCTAACTTCCCACCGACTTATGAGCATTGATTTAAGTTTTTCTTGAGCCCATCTTGCTTGCACGTTAAGTGTCTCTGAGTCAAACGTTGGGCTGTGAAATGAGCTATCAGCCAAAATTTCTTGGAATGACCAAAGCTGCCTCTTTTGTGAGTTCGGTATGCACTAATCGTGCAAATAGAAACCTATAATCGCATATTCAGTTGATTTGTGCACATGTTTAGCGAGGTTTTAGTGAATTTTCAGTAGTTTAAAGCGACTTGTTTTCTTTTTGTTTGAGTGACTGGCTCATGCGAATTTCAGCTTGGGAGCTTACAGAAACTTAACAGCTTCCGGCTACCTCATCGATGGCGCTGTGCATATGTGCATACATCATGTGAAAAGGAATGCTGCAAACTGCTTATTCGTTCCTTGACTTGATCAATGAATTCTGATTTATCAAGCCAAATGCAGCCATTTCTACTATGGACCCCTGACGACACCATAGAGGAAATGGTTGTTACGCCAAAAAGGCACATTTGTTGAAATTGTAATTTAATTGCACTTGTAACAAGTAGCCCGGGAGTTGTGAAGCTACGGCAAACTAAGCAATAAGAAGAGTTGTTTAAAAAACTCCTTTGAATTAGATGGAAAAATAATTAGGGTCGAAAGCAGCGTTCGAAATTCTGACTGCAGAAGAAGTATTAAATCACCAATAATCAGTATCAAATGCTAAGCGACAGTTCCATTTTACAGTTTGCACACGTTATGCACTTTCGGGAAGTGTAATGTTGCATTACGCACCAAAACCAACTGGGGCCCCGACTGCTCGAAGATGGCGACAGCTTTTAAATGCGGAAGTCCAACCAATCTGGTCCCGTTGACGGCGAGAAGGATATCGTAAACTCTGCCGTAAATGGTGTAAAAAAGTTAGAAAAGAATGAGATATATGGCAGACGTAAGGCGTTCATTCAAATTATGTGTCGACCTAATGAGTTTAGCTAAAGTGCACAAACTTCAGCAAGGGCAGAACATTTGATGTCTTAAGATCTAAAAAGTGGGATTTTATTACCAAGAGGTGTGTTTTTCCAAGTGCAACTGCAGTGGATAGAAGAAGTGAAATCATCATTGATTTCCCTTGATCAACTTAATTTCAGTTACAGACGGCTGATTACTACTTAAGAAGAATACATGCGCTTATTGAAGCATTTTAAACACTTGTATAAGTGCCAGTTTCCAAACAGGGTATACAAGAATTGTATAAAGAACATATTTCGCATAAGCGTGAGCTACTTCAGGAATGTTTTGTCCGATTGCAGCACCTTTACTAACCAAATATGTCAATGAAATGACAGCTTTTGGGGCCCTCGATAGCCCTTTCATACCTACAAATTTAGTCTGTTGAATTGCGTGTAGGCTCCAGTAATTCCTTAAGAACTTATAGGACCTGCCAACCAAGTGCTTGGGAATACTGCCATAAATGATAGCAAATACAATGAGTTAATTATTCCAGCAATAAAAAGGAGACCGCTAATTTGACCCCACACAAAAAATCATGGTGCATAAGTTAACGAAGCAAAATCTACTTTGATAATACCACGATTTCATGAATTACCTAAATGTAGTTGAACACCTGCCGATTTGATGTAAAATCCTTCACGTTTCCACACGAAATTGCCCATTAGTCTTTTATTTCACCGGTTAAAAGTCCTCCACGTGGAAAAATTCCCTTTGAATTATATTGTATGAGGAAATTTACACAGTGGGAGTGTTCAAGAAAGGACAGTCTTAAATCGTCATTGCAGCGGTGGTCTGAGTCAACTAGCAGGGAGTTTCGCTGTACGACCATTTCAAAGATTGAAACTCGCTCAATGTTTGTTAGAAGACAGAAGTGTGTGGACTAAAAACCACTTGCCTCAAACGGCCATCTAGATCGGCCACGCCTCCTGGTGTGATGCGGGCCACATACACAAAGCGGGGGTGCATTGCGGCCAGCGGGGCCTCACGGTCGGTTCCGCCCGCAATGGAAAACCCAAAGCCATGCGACCCCCTCGTCAGTTTAACACGAAACGTCACCGGACAGTTCCCTTGTTTCCGCGAAAAGGAGGAATTGGATGCCGAGGCGGAGCCGAAACTGGCCGACTGAGAAGTCTCTTCAAAATCGTCAAAAATGGGCACACAATTCCTTGTCAAACTCGTGCGACGATAGCGGCCCAGGACGAGACGACCACAGGAGTTAACCAAGGTGGAGGTGGGGTCCTTTGCGTTGCTTCTGTTTGCCCCTGACCCCAGAGCCCCGGCTCTTGTGATTTGGGACAGAGAACGCTAGAACAAAGACTCAGTTATTTTTTTCAGGCCCACACAACAATTACGGATGGCTTCAGGATGCCAATGGAATGCTTGCATGCGGAGGTTTGCTCGTGCATCTGAGTCTGTACCTGGCCGTAGCTCACGGTACAATAATCTGCATAGAGCTGAAGTATGCAATCAAAGAGGTAGACTGTCACACTAAAATATGCAATTTGTTAGTAGTTGATGACGTGAATATTAGGACTTTAGCTACACGTCCAGCCAGTCGTGCAAAGAGGGCAAAAATCACAATACTGACTCGTGAGTTCGAAACTAATTAATGTAAATACGCCCGTGCTTACGCCGGTGTTAAGAAAAACTAACCAGGCAATTTGTATTTCCCTCAGTCAGCGAGCTGATTTTGCGTGTTTAGCTAAAAAAGAGGCTGCGAATCATCTTTTACTTGATAAAAAAACCGATGTTATTTGATGAATCGAATTTGCGTGAAAATAAAACTAGATCACCTTTTGCACCTAAGCATTCTGTTATTTTTTAGGCCTCAAAAAGCTACATTTCAGTTCGACCGTTCCAAATTAAATTACCCTCAGGCCATCCTGCCTCTTGAGAAAATTAAATACACTTGGTTGATTTTTGCCCAAGTCAAAGTATGAACACAAGAAGGCAGATGGAGTCACGGTCGGAACAAAAGGGTTGCTGCGCAAATGGCACTGCAATCAAAGCTAAAGCTTGGTCCTGAATTTTTTCGCGATCTCCGAGATTAACATTTACGAAAGATTTGCCACTATTAGAGAAAATTTTCTTGATTAAGGGGTCATGATTAATTGATAACTAGGTTTAATACGATTGAGCGAATAAGTGAGCAAAAATTGCTGGATTGTGGGTATTTGCCACGCCTTTCACAGTCAGATTTTTGGAAGTGCCATCCCTACGTGCAGAGCCTTTCGTCACCCCCATGACGTCTCAGAACTGAGTGTGTGAACTAGTGAATACTTTCTGGAGCTAAAAAGCATTGTTAAATCAAATTTTGCGAAGTTACATTCATGTCTGCATAACTACGCAACCTACCTATGCACATTTTCCTAATCTGCTTCAAATAACTACTCTGACTATGGATCTTAAATAGGTATGAGCTGCAGTGGTAAACAATTTCATACTTTCCACAGCTTTGTTTATTAGTTGTGAGTAGGATGGGTTAATTCAAAGCTAAGATGGGAGCAAACCGACAATTGTGTAAAGAATTTCACGTTAAAACTGCAACAAGTAATCTCATTTTTGTGTAGTTAGAAATAAGCTTACACAAATATATACTTTTTTTCAAGTATAAATGGTGTAGTTCCAAAATTTAGAGAGCAAACAAGAAGGATATATGGGCCTGGAACACAATGTGTTCACGGCCATTATGCCAATAACGTTTATTCAGACAATGATGTGAATCGTTAACGTACGTTTGCAGACAGCACTACCTATAATTCCACAACTCAAAGTGATTCAAATTTACGACGTACTGTGAGATACGCCACAAACATTAGTTTACCGAGAACAAAGGCATTTGAAAATGGAACATGTTTTAAAGTATCCACAGTCTGTCACACTATACACGATTTATTTTACAAATTTTAGTAATTTTAAAACAAATACAAATAACCATAGATGATTTACTCAACAGGATTAAAAAATGACTACTTACGGATCGAGAGCACCTTGTGAGGTCGTTGCCGGGCTGGTAAGGGTGTGTTATGGAAGCAGAAAGTGCGGTCGAGGAACTGTCAATCTGCTCCCATCGCCCGGCGATATCGAGTGCCATTTCTGCCTTCACTTTCGGCGGGATGATGTCCGACAGCAAGGTCGTCTTGTAGAAATCACTGACATCTAAATGCAAGGTAAAAACCAGCAGTAGCTTTTGATCCGAAGCAGATACAGCATAAACTAATCACTTTATATCACGTCCAGTTTCGTCAAAAAGCCCAAACCTGATTTCACCTAGATTTTTGACATTGGACTAGCATTATTGAGTATAACGGCTTTCAGGCACACCTACTCTCGGCTCAGCGCGCTTGCGTCCAACTGAAATTTGTGCGCACTCAAAACAACTTTTTTTACTGGAGCGGAATTCATCGAACCGTGAGACAGATTGGCCTCTCCTGAATCTTTTTGTTTGGTTCGGCATTTCGACCAGCGGTTCCTGCCATTCTTGCCTCCAGAATCTAATGCGCTTTATATAAACGCAAACAGTTCTTTTAATGGGAGCAGGACCACCGAAGGCATTCTCTGGTGCCTTTAATACCCCTTGTTATTTGCATTACAACTTGATGAGAAAATTTTAATAAGACATAATTCTTAATGGACAATTAAATCCACATAGAATCAAATAACCGTCACAGAATGTTTTACTGCAAATTTTCGTGAGCATAATAATGCTGATTAATGTTGTGTAAAATATCTGCTTGGCATACGCATAAACACGGTAAAGGTAAAACTTCATTATAATGAGCCGTGATGTAACTTTAACTGAACAAAGCAACTTCGCTAAGGATTCATGTTCTTCAAATAACGAATATTTAAAGGCTCATGTTTTTACATGTTTGCGGGGATCGTGTCAAAGACCTTTTTAAGGAAAATTTCCTGATTATAAAGATGCCTTCAGGAAATTTATCTTTTTTCTATCAATTATTGACAAGGAGTAATTTTTGTGATTCATACAAGCAGAATTCGAAGGCACGCCCCCAAATATCAAAACTAGAATTAGAAGCTATGCTAATTCCGTGTTAAACGATCAGTGTGAGTTCGGGACAAAGATCTTTAACCCGAAATTCAAGTGCATTTAACATTTGACGAGCTAATACCAAGTATAACAGCTTCGGCCCTTTACAGTAAAAAGGGGTCCCGATCATAAATGGACACTTGGTCCAAAAATCGAGGCGCGTTTACGTAAACACCTGTTGACCAGCCCAAAATAATCAGTTCCCTGAGGTGACACGCTAACAAAATTAATGAGTAACTTTGGATTTTAAGGACAGTGCCAAGCTCAAGGCTGTACACTGTGCGAGCATGGAGGACGACGGCCGTGGGGAATAATCCATGCTGACCGTTGTTGGGCGGAAAAGAAAAGCCGCACCGGAAATCCGGATTCACATGACCAGATCACGTTAGCAAGCTTGATCGCTGAATGCACTGCACACCCACACACAACACACGTGTAGCATTCTTTGGTTAGATTTGTCGGCTTGATGTTAAATAAGAATGATTCTCTTTAGTAGAACAAAAGTAAAAGCCTCATACTTTGCGTGCCACCTAGGAGAGCGCATTAGGAGTTGAACCCACCCAAATGGAAATCCTACTTATGCTCGGTACAACCGAATCAGATCGGTGACAAAGTCGTCCAACAAATTGTGGGGCATTGGTTCTGGAACAAAAATATTTATTAGGTGACTCAGTAGGCTCTGAACCCCGCGGTCTGCGTCTGTAACACAATGTCTTATTTGTGCCATATTAAAATAAAATTTAGGGTTTAAGCATAACTTAAACCCTAACTACATTTCTTTTGTAAATTGACGTGCTAGCAGATATTTTGGCATTTTGACGCCTTGACTAGTTTAGACTTGAGGAACTCGGTTGGAAATAGCGGTATGTCAAATGGCCAAATGAGGGTGCGGAAAAGTAATATGGCATACCAAGGTAGGCATGGTAAAGGTGGCTTTGCATGACGTCCACCACACGGTCGAGAGCAACTACGAGGTCCTTGTTTTTCTGATTGTCAAGGCTATTCCGGTAGGCAACTACTTCCTTCAAAGCTTGTTCTGCACCTGCCAAAAAAACGAACACAGGGGCATTTTGTAGACACGAATTGCCCGCACACCAAACTTGAGTCATCGGACTTTGGTTTGTGTCACATGTGTCTACCTCTGAGGAATATGATGTCTAAGTGCCGGTAAGAGCCCTTGAAACCTCAATCGACTTTAGTATTGTGTAAATCAGAAAGTAACACAAAACAAATTAGAGCTAATTTATCCCACAAACATTACTTTAGATCACGTCACTTGTAAGCCAAAGAAATACTGCTAGCATATCGTGCGTAATTAGCGGGATGCAGAGAAACAAGTCCAATCCATTTAACGGTGCTATAATTGAAATAAGTGTTGCAAGTTGCAAGCTATGTTCTTTGTGCTAATGGCTTTTAATCAGGCTCTAGTGATGCTTCCAGACTTTGATATATCAAGAAAAATATGGCTATATCTACACGGACAGGATGCAATTGTGTGGCCTGCACGCAATGTCAAGGCCGCGGTTCCTTTCTACCAAAAGTGTCACCTACACGGGAAAAACGGTGAGGCCAAAAACGGGAAGACACTGGTTAGCGCAACGTATGATACACTTGCCATTCCCGCCGTGACCCTACAAGATGATTATGTTTTATTTTTTTATTGTAGCGTTTTGATTAAATGTAGATTCTGCGACATCAGCTTTGGAATAACACATAGAAGTCCAACCTGGACAGCCGGAAAGCATCTCGTTTTATGCAGAAACACGGCACGCCCACAATCGTTGTTTGCACGTTTATGAACAGTAGGAGAAAGTGTAACTGACCGGAAGACGCGAATTCACTACAAATACGCCTCAAAATTGCGCCGGATATTTAAAAAATGTTAATTTTCATAGGAAGATGTTACTGAAACAAGATTACCAGGTGTGACGCAAGATAATGTACATGGTAGATACACGCTCACTAAACAAATCCTTTTTAAAACAACAGGACTTGTGGTAACTTGACTGAGAGTTACGTTGCCTTTTGGAGCAAACAGATAATTTGGTGTTAGGTTGAAGGGGTTCGGAGTTTTGAGTAGTGCAGACAGTACATTAGGCGGGATTGTACCAACAAAATGCTTTTAGGAATAAGCATTTGTGAGAATTCTCAAACCCCTGAGCTAAAATGAGTGCTAGAGGTGTGGGTAATTTAACACCTGCGAACTACAGACACCGTGGAGACCCACGCCGCCAAAAGCCTGTTATCGCCGTGCCCGGGGAACCTCTAACAAGTCATCGCAACTTAAACCTTCCATCAAATCACTCTTATAATCTTGCTCACAAAATTGATTACCTGGGAGACTCACCAACGATCAAATGCATTTACCAAATCAAAACGAGAATACGAACCAAGCAAACAAAAGTCTGCACTTGAAAGCCCCCAAATCCGACAGCGTCACTTCTGTCATTCCCAGAGCAAAATACTGGCACAACTACCTCGATTAAGGACCACACCAATTTTGTTCAATACCTTAAGGTATTTTTCGCAGATCTGCTTTCATTTGTGCAATTTGACCAAAGTTTTAAGTATTGCCACCCTCAAGAACTCCCTGGCTTCTGCTACTTTTATTAGACTTCATCTTTGCGGTTAAGGTACCTTAACATGGGTTAGAATCATTTTCGGCTGAACAACATGAAACGATGACCTCTCGAACGAAGTGCCCCCATGACCTCTTAGCCCCTCAATGTTCATTGTCCAACTTTACTAGTTCTCGACATTGCTGAAAGTAGTGTGAGGGATATGTCAAACATAAAATAAAATAAAACAAGAGGCCCTGCCAAGTCAGTGACGATCAAATTATCTGATTTTTCAATTCAAGCACTGGTATTGATGTTCGAAATCTTGGCAGTTGTCAACAGAATCGATTGAAATTTAAATGACGATAAAACATTGATTTAGAAATGTAGTTTATTAGACAAAAAGCATGTTTAATATTCACTAACACGATGACAAATTTGTTTCAGAGACCATCGCTTTATGCTATGACTTTTCACACAGACTCTTGATAGGTTCCACTATTATAATATCTCAAAAAAACTTGTTCTTAGGTCATTGCAGTTGCTACTTTGGAGTCACCTTTGACTGGGGTGCAAATACGAAAAGCTCGAAAAATTGTTATTTGATGAAACCTAATCGATTGGGGTAGAAGCTGAGATTTATCTATCAGTTAAAAACTGAGATCACTTTCTTATTAATCTGTCAAAATAGCACAAAAATTCCACTGAACGCTCTGTAAGACAACTTTTTTTAGAAATAATTTCCCTTTACTAATAAACGGTGAACCATATTTATGCAGCCTCTTTAGTTTTCTTTTATCACAAGTAAAATCTCAAAACCACGATAATTCCAAAATCCTTCATCGGCTGGCCCCAAAGAATTTAGACGGGTTTCTACAGCTGAATGTTTCCTTTTGAGAGCAACAAGAAGGCTTTGAATAAAATGTTTTGACATCAGTCTATGTAACCTTAGTAATAATTCATTCAGGGACAAAAGTTATGAAGAATAAAAATTGAGTCAATGCACATGTTTGTGTCAGACTAAATCATCTAATTTACGTCAAGTGGGTAGTATTAAGAACTCAAATTCACCACATATCTGGTCGTGATTAAATTCGATGGTGACTAAACAAGTTGAATCTGGTCAATAAGGTATAATGAGTGTTTGCGATAGAATTTTTTCCAGATTTTAGAAGATGGTTGACGCAAAACCTGTTTGATGCCCACAATATTTTACTACAACGGTTTTCGTCGTTAAACTACTCATAGCTTTTGGATGACCCAAATACACTATTACGTTTGGCAAATTTCAACAAACTTTTACTAGCAGGGCCTCTTTAGGCCAACACTACGTAAATTAAATGCGGAAAAGTCTAGATTTGAGGGAGAATGGTTTGGATATGTATAGCAAATAATATACCTAATGAATATACTAAAAACTAAATTCAACCATTGAATATCAAGCAAAGTCAACATAATTGAGGTCTTGTACTTGGACCGAAGAATCTAAGTGCTTACTTTTTCTCGGCTTCATAATTTGATTGAGCACTGGATTCACTGTACACCCTGAAACAGACAGGTCGAGGCAGACACTCTTATTTAAACTAAATAAAAACATATATTGCATGAATTTATAAAATTGGAAGAACTATAAATTAGTTCGCAGTACAGACATTTTAGCTTAAAAGGAAGCATTGAGGGTGTGGTTTTTAATCGCGTTGTAAATGAAGAAAGTTAAGCATATGAATGCCTAGGTGACATAAAACGAAATCATCGTATGATTTTACGAGGAATTCAAGTAAACTCCAAGATCCTTAAAGTTACCCAAAAACCAACGTTTCGATTGGACATCAAAATATGCGCAAGCTTCATTATTTCATAAAACTACTCAAGGTCGTTAGAGCAGCAGTTAATTTTTCACTCATTACTTTAACGCGATTTATTTAAATATTGCAATTAGTTTTTTTGGGCAACTACCATCTTTATAGTCAACGCCTTTATATATAATTGTTGAAAAGGTTGTGGCGAGCACGTAGTTAGCAAGCCTGAGCAAACATTATTCAAGCGATTTCCGTGAATTCACTTCATGTAACTCTGCTCGCTCAAGGATCGATGCTTAGCGAATCTATATTAACACACTTGTTATTCTGTATACACACACTCACACACCGCTGCATCAATAAATTAGTTGAGCTATGCGCCATCAGCATTTTCTGCTCTTCTTTCGGTCGGGCCGTGTCAATGCAGATTGTCGGCCCTGGTGTGGTTATAGAAACCACACCAGGGTTTCTATAAGGTACATGGTAAATATATTAATAAGACGAAAGCCAATCCAAATTTGATGACAAAGTGCCTACGGAAAAGCAAGTTAGTCACAAAGTAAATGTAAATTGATTTTTAAGAGTGAGACCATCGATAATTTAACTGCAATGCAATCAATAGTGACAGGATTTAATAGTTAATGAAAACAACAATTGTATTACCTATTTGAATAATATACCTGGAATTCTTTTATAATAGACGCATTTCAGGAATTGGGTAGTTACTTCATTAGGAAAAAATTTTAGCTACCTGGTTACGGCCTATTATCGTCGCAATTCCAAATGAATTCATGACCCTCAAAAGAGCCACACATTATAGAAAACGTAGCTCTGCAAGCCAGCATAATTACAGTTGGTTTGTGAGACTTGATTGCTGTTTAAAAATTACAATAGTTAGTCTAGTTCCATTTCAGATCTACGTTTCACAAGACTGCTCGCATCGTCGTCCCTCTAAATATCACCAAATTATCAGTAAGGTTCCTTTTTAGCTTAATTTGTAAGAGATCTCAATACGATATGCTTATTTCTATAAGAAATAAGCCAAAATACAGCAGCAAGAGACAACTTCCATTGTCAAATTATCGCACATTGTCATATTAAGTGGCGAGATTTATAATAGGCTTAACGTCAAATGTAGATGATAATGAAATGTGAAACAGTAGAGACAAAAATCTTTAATAACCCGCTGCATTGATTGACCGCCTTAAATGTCACATCACTTAAATGAGCCACTATGATGTTACAGGAGCGTCACAAATAACTTGTGAAAAACGAGACTAAGTCAAATCTCAGTTGCTTTGCAACGAAACGGGAGTCGCTTCGATGAGTGGTTCCACTTCATGGCAGAAAACTAGTCGTGGGTAATGTACGTCGTATATTGAATGCCACAAGTAAATTCTTTTCGGAATTGGAAATGTTTGAATTCTTTGCAATTTCAAAGAATTTCGAAGCCTAACAGGTTCGTATTTGGTAAAACAAGTCAAGTTAATAGATAAGTCAATAAATTCCCATAATCAATTTTGAATGAAACTTTGGGATGAATAAATCGCAATTCTAGCCATTTCCATCAGCAAAATTGTTAAAACGGTTGAATAAAATCCATCTTTTGTCGAACTCTCGCTTCAGTGTTTCCGGAATTGCTTCTTTGTCTAGTAAAAATTAAAAAACAAATACGATATTTCGAGACGTGTTTGCTAAGCCTAGGCTTAGTCATATTAATGACTCACTGAAGTCAGTTAAGTAAAACTCGAATGGCATTTCGACAAGTCCTAAAATGCAATTTTCTTTCCATAAATGTCAAAATTTAAAAAAATAATACAAGCCATCGAGTACTTGATTAAAAGCAGAGCAGACCGAAATATTTTCACGTTATATTGGCCACTGCTAGACTAACAATTTATGCATATTTACAATGCTTTAAAAGCATTATGCACCTCTTTTCTTAAGTCATGCAGATAATTTACAGATGGCGTTGTGGCAGTAGGCCTCCAGTCAAGTGGAATTCCAAAGATAACTAATAATTTTGTCTAGCTTCCCACGATTACCGGAAATCCAGCACCTTTAATATCAAACTTCACATTGGTGCTAAATTTACAAGATGCGTAGTATTCGAAATAGGCATAATCTTTTTTTAAGTATATGGCCTAGATTAGGGTTTCTGAAATTTAACAAAAAAAATATTTAATCAAAATAGATATTTGGACGGAATAAAAATTAACAAGCCACTGCATATATGAAAATCTGCACAGAAAGCAGATTTAGGCTACTGAAATCAACGCCTAACCGGACAGGTTTGCAGCCAAGTGTGCACTTAATTTGTCTTCAATAAGCTCCAAAAATACGTCACCTGTTTTGATGTTGACTGTTAGCAAAAAAAGTAGAATATCCTTATTACACTCCGAAAATTGATATCCCTAATACATGTTAAATTTCAATTACTAGGGTTCACATATATATTCTACAAAATGTAATTTAAATCCAAGTCCCATTTTAAATTACAGTTAAACTTATAAATGAGATTCGATGTAAACATGTCTGCTTAGATGATTACAGAAAGTGAAAAGGCAACCTGTTTCTCTTACATTAATTATACTTTTTGTTGAATTAACACGTAACTATAATGTCTGACAATTTATCATCCGAGAAATACTCTTAGAAAATATATTCCTAAGTTCACTATTTCAACATTTACATTGTTTTTATGCAGAAAAAATAAAATCAACAGTTTACCAAGATTTGGATAACAGCAATGAAAGTTATACATTTACATTATAGTGAATATGAATTTCCCTCCATGAAAAGTGTGGCGATGTTTACCTCATTATCAAAATTGCATTGTAGTTTCTCGTTCGCATTAATTTTTTCGTAGAATGCACTAACTTTTTACAAAAAAATTACTTAACGGCAGTGCTGCAAAGTGCGAAATCACTTTATTTTCAAAATACTAAATGCATCAATGACAAAGAGTTCAAAAAAGTTGGCTAACCACCGCCCAATTCGAATTTGTGCTTTTGTATTCGCTACCGTTTTGTTATTTCTATTTCCGGAACCTTGGTTTTTAAGTGGTTTGTCACTGAACAAAACTACGCTGGAAGACATTTTTGGTCGGCTACATAATTTTAAGTTAAACATCTAGTTGGTGCCCAAACAGGTATAATTCTTAAGACTTCTCTTGATACTATTTTTAAGTTACTCGACCTTGAACCCCATTTTTTGATTGGTTTCGAAAAATACCTTCAAGCTTTCAGACTCGTCGCACGCTGGTCTAGTTATATTTTGGTTTCCGTATCATCGATTGTGATCTCGGTTTCACTTTTTTAATCGCCACAATTGATGACTTGTTCCGGATTTAACCCTAAACAGCATGAAGTTTACCGAACATCTAGCTGCACATCTTACGCCTGAGTGGCGAAAGCAATATGTTGAATATGAAGTAAGGTGATAATTTTTTCTTTGACTCTATGTAGTCCCTTAAACAAATACTTTACAAAGCTTTAGATGATTTTGAGGATTTACCAGGTACGTCTTTAGAGCCACTAACCAGTTGTTCTCAGTGGTTGACGCCGTGACGGTCAGTGAACACTTTGATGAGTGCGACACCATATTCTTTACAATGTGTCAGGCTGAGTTAGATAAAGTGAACAACTTTTTCTCTGGTACGTTATATTCGATCAAATTATTTACGTTTCCTTCAAGAAAAACTTGCCGAAGCTAAACGAAAGTTTGCCGCCCTTAAAGAAGAATGTGACCGTCATTTTTCTTCAAGACGTCGAGTTCCAATCGCGTCAGTGTACATAAGTAGTCCCGCCGCCGCCGCCGCCGCCGCCGCCGCAGTGGATCACCAAAATTACCAAGATGAAGGCTACCATCGTGTGGCAGAAGGAACGCGATCTCCGGCACAATTGTTCAATCGAAGCCCCGGACGTCATATTAATGACATGGATATGTTGCGACGCCGCAGAAGTACAATTCGTTTAAAGAAAGGCGATAAACGGTCCGATGATATCTCGCGACAAATTGGCCAAAATGAAGAGACGCCCCGATTAAAGACTTATGACCTGAAACTTGCGCTGAGCGAGTTCTACCTAAGTTTGGTGCTTCTACAAAATTATCAAAGTCTTAATTTTACTGGGTTCCGGAAAATACTTAAAAAACATGACAAGGTGAGGCTTTCTCACTCGGCTTCATTTCCTGATTTATGACGATTGTAAAATGTTGCCAACCACACCTATATAGCACTGTTTCTGCTAGTAAGCATCAACCTTTTTAATATTGTTTAGACCTCAATTAAATCATTTCTCACTGCTTTGAATTTTTAGTTATTCCAACGTTCGAATGGTTTGGAATGGCATCGCAATACTGTGTCCAAGGAGTTGTTTCATGTGGATAATTCAGTCGATTCGATGATTTCAGAAGTTGAGGTATGTCACAACTCATTAAAGCATTTATTTAGTATTGCTTAATCTATCCATATCTGGATGCATGTTTTATTTGATTTCTCCTTTGAAAAAAAACCATCAGTTCTCCTTTATTCATTGAATCCATAACTGTGTTTCGATGCACAGCCGTTTAGACTGAAAACTTGTTTCTTCTTGATGGCAAATTACTGACTGTTGGTTTTGTGTTTTATCTGTCTTAATTTATACGATTATTTGTGTGACTCCATTCCTACATTTTGACATTGCTGAAATGCGTTATACAAATATCACCGATAATGCCGGGTGGGAAGTGGAATGTTCCAATTGTCGATATTATTCTATTCTTCTCAATTAATTTCCATCTTGGTGGTTTGAAGAATTAATTTTTGTCGCTGCCATAGGAAACTGCACACTATAAATAGGTTCCAGCAATGATCAATTCGCATGGTTTTTAATCTATTTTTTTGCACTATACAAACTTTTTTTGTACTTAAGACATTAAAAAATCATAAATCTCCTAAAAATCAAGAAAATACAGATTTGCCTGTGTCTAGCCTAGATTATTGTTTTAATATCGCTCTTAGTCTTACCCTGATTCAGCAGCGAATTGCAATTTGCCTCAATGGTACTTGAAACTTCAAAATATCTTCTTTCGAAAAGTGTTTTGAGGCTTTTCCGGCCTCTCAACGGAGGTTCTTCCTCCTGTCAACCTTTAATGCAGTACAGTTCCCAAGGATCAGTGCATGTATTTGGTACTCCAGCGTACGCCACCCCCTTCAGAAGAAACGGCTTGGTCCGAAATTCATTAATTGAATTTTTAAAGCCCAACTATTTAGCTAGGTGAACTCCACACTCCCCAGAGTCTAATCTTTAAATATGAAAAAATAAAAGGCCATCTATTGAAATGGTAACTTGCATTTGGTTCCATGAACAGGAGACTTGAATGAACCGTCCAACTGCTATATTTATGTAATTCTGTTCAGCTAATCTTCTTCCGTGTTTTATGGCTTAATTTTTAAGAAAAGCGACTAAACTTGGGTAAATAAAAGCCCATTGTAATCTGACATGTCCGTGTTCCGTTACCTTATCTGCCGCTGTCCGTTGAGAGGTTTAATGGAAGGTATTGTATTCTACTATTCAAAATCCGAGCTGTTAGATGATGGTTGCAAAAGCTAGACTCAGACGTGCGCGATACTTCATCAGTCTGAATGCACTAATTTTTCTAATCCCTACGTCTGTGTGTAGTCGTCCACTCTAGTCAGAAACACTTTAATTTCAAGTTTTCAGTTAAACTACATGGGCATAACATTTAGTGCTCTATTATGGACGAATCTTAATAAAAGATTATCCCCTTTCTAAATATTTATGTGCGCAATCGGAGATGATTATAGACTTCGAGAGCCAGCCGATTTTACTGAATAGGGGACCATATGAGACTCCACACAAATCTACAAGTAGCGCGTAAACAGAGGCTTTGGAAGTGTTTTTACTGAATCTCTTGGTGAGAAAGCTAATTCTGTGGTCCTTTGAAGCCGAATTGCTCCGGCAAACACTCTTGGTGTGCTGGGACGTGTAAATACAGTGATTTGACAACGCGTACCAGGTTACCTTTCCTCCACCTATATGCGATGCATTCTAGAATGTGGATTATTTCCCTCTACCGTTCTCCGACCCTGTTTTAAAGTTGCGAGGACATTCGTCCCCATAAATGCTGTTCTTATCGAACCAGTAGTTATAGGCCTCTCTTCCATTCCTTTGGGTCTTCGTTGGAGACTAAGTCGATAATAGATGATTTAGTTGTTGAAATGAGTCCTGATTAATAGCTTGAGGAAGAACTTTGGTAAAATGACTCAATTCGCACATATACTATGTTTCACTGCGTTAGTCTTTGTTTTTTGCAGGACACTTTTACCAAACTCGAGGGAGGAAACCGTCAAAAGGCTATGAAACGTCTGCGTGTGCCACCTCTCTCTGCTCAGGTGTGTGGTCTTTCCTTCTGACTGTTGCTAAGTTATGAAACTACCTTATAAGTAAAAGTTTGATCGAACTTCAGATGCCTTCTACCACACCCAAGCTAAAAGCAGAGGTCACGAAAGTCACAGTTTAGTCGAATTCTGACACGCACCACTCTGATTGTTCGAAACAAACGAATTTGCTGTTTTAAATGCGATCACACTGGCATCACAATAACTCGCCGTGTTCGTGTTTACGAGGTCAAATTCAGGAAAGTACCTAGGCAGAAATAACGGCCCACCATTAAATGCACGTCAATGTTTGCATTTAATTTTTCTATATTCGCTCTAATAATTCGTTAAAAAAATCTACAAAGTGTATACTGCTCACCTCAACTACCTGAAAATAGTTTTTCTAGACGTCCGTCCTTTATAGTTAGATCTTTTGTCAGTTTTGTTAAGCATCTATTTACTAAAGAGTAACTCGAGTTATTTGACATGACGCCTGTATTTAGCGATTTCGTCTACTTCCTATTTCTTGCTTCCTTCCGTCAAGTCTTAATGGGATTTCTGAAATGTCTCGAAATCGATGTACCCCTGCGATACCAAAAAACGTAGCAAACTCCCATCATTAAAGCTTGCGATATGCTATCGTTTGTGTCATCGTCATTTATGTCTGTAACATTGGCATGCATGTGAGAGCTGCGTTTGACATTCTCTTCATCTCCACTAAGGTTAGCGTAGCTGTCACCCTGTTGAGCGCATTAGTCACTTCGGTGCTACACTTTTTATCGAGGAAATTTCCACTACCGTGTCTTTTAAACATTCTGCTTATGCCTTCTATTTCTTAAAAAAAAGGTATCGTAGGTTTTCTGACCTTCGTCGCATTAAGTTAGATCCCTGGTGATACGTAAAATGCTTCAAAGCGATGCTAACTTTAGGCTGTATTACGAGGCGTATTTTCTCCTAAAGTTGAATAGCCTGTGGAAAATGCATAAACAATAGCATTGCATTTTATGGGGCAGTTTTAAGGATTTTGCAATATTAATTGAAATGGATTGATTTCTCTCTGTGGAACTTAATCTCTCCCTAGATAAGGAAACGTACTGAATAACTCCGAACATAAAATTAAATTGAACGGTGCCATTTACATGCCCTCATTGTCAATAGTGGTGTATGACGATTACTTCCATTAAGTAGAATTCATTTGTTTCAGAGGTCACAGTTGTATTGATTGAAGACATAATATCATATTGACATAATTTAGCTCCTTTGTCCGTAACTCCAACTGCTCAATTGTGTTATAGCGACTATTTTCGGTGAACATTCTCACTACTGCATTTTTTTCTTTCGAATTCAGCGAACGTCCAATAATTCCCCCAGTCCGTATTTAGTCCAGCTACGCAGCTTATTTAATAATAATGATCACATGTGACCCACGTGTGTTGCTTTTACTCAAAGACATAAGAATGGCTGTTTCTGTATGGGACGTTTATGATTACGAGCATGTTGTTATGCCCTAAGTAAGTGCTTGGGGTCGCCGCGTTTTTTATGCTACTACATTTTCAGTCCTTTTTCCTCAATTTTAGTCCAGTGCCAAATCCGTGTTCCGTTTTGGGTTCTTCCTTGGCATTTTCCTTTCCGAGGTAATTGGCATAATCCTAGTCGGTACGTTACCATTCTAATCTATTTATACGTGAAAATCCCGGAAATGCATGCACGATTTTGCTAAGATTGTCTCCATACATCGATTTGGACTTCAACTAGGTTAGAAGCGTTAGAATTCCCGATGACCTAATTTATTACTCGATTTCGTACCAGGGTTTATATAAGTGTTTCAAAATCATTACACACTCCTGCATCTGCCGCTACCTGTCTTTTCTACTCTTAATTCGTTCCGACTCTCGAAAATCACGAAAGAGAATTCAAGGATTCAAACCCCAACACGGCGCAGCACAGACGACTCACATTCGATCGAGCACTTTGCCAGCCAACGTGGCCACGGCGGTGGAGGCGTTGGCAAGGCATGAGGTCGCGGGTGCTCGTCTGCTGTGGGCATCTACAGAGGCACGGTGTAGGTCGAAAACGATGCAGGCAAAGCGGTGTGGGGGGATTAGTGACGACACAGACGTGAGTCGTGGAGCTGTCAGCCACTGGGTGTCGCAGAGGCAGGAGGAGGGATATTTTCAAGGAGCTAGCTTCGACGTGTTACAAAAGTGGGCGTTTGAGTTGATCGCACAGTATACTGAGTGATGAAACACTGCTTATTGTGGCAACGAACGAAGCACGTTGAGGGTGGTTGAATGAAGGTGACGCTGAGAGTCGCGGCCTTGTGCTAAAGACGCGACAAAACGTGGCAGATTCTTTGACGAAGGCCACTGGGATCTCGGTGGGACGGTTAGTGAAGACAATGGATGCAGACGAGTGTACGTGGCTGACCATAATCAGTAGAATCGACTTAACTCGTATTCACAACAATGCTTGACTACACTTTCCAAAGACCACTACAAGAACCCAAGCGGATGTATTCGGTTGCAAACTGTCGTGACTCCAGAACACTAGGAATTCATTTAGAGTTGAGTAACGTCGCTTAACACTGGAAACAATTCTTTGAATTAAGCTATTTCGACACAAAGTAATTCAGTTCGGTGACATCCGTTTGAGAGTGATGAAACTGATAGTTAACTCACTCAAACACAGTAGCCATTAGGTGGTGTTTGATCATGCCACCTTATTGTCACGCGTCTTGCTAACTCGTGCTGCCGTTTTTTGACGAAATCGTTTTAGAAATTTTATTCGTTTTTAGGTTAATTAGTATTTAGCTATGCTGAATACTGCCACCTTAGGCCATATTCTTAAATCTATCTTTTAGCATGTTGTCTTCAATGAGCAAACAAATTAATTTGACATTGACATGTGATCAGTAAATGTTGTTCTTATTTGTCTAAACAAGATAGGAACCTGTTGCTCAATAACCTCTTTGAAATGACAAACGGAGGTTAAGATTTTTAATGGATGATTAGTCTTTCCAGACTGAGCTAAGTTTGTACTTGATTCGAGCAAGTTATAACTACTTGTAGACAAAACTTTACTTTGTACCCGGTTGCAATATGCCTCCATTCTTTTGTATCCTTCTTTATTTCTATAAACTTGCTCAAATTTAGTGTTCGAAATGGTACTCCCTATATTCATGATTATGTTTTATTACTCTGCTGATTTTGTCTCCCTACAGCCTTTTTCATCCAAGCGCCACAATTTTCGTACCCAGCATTTCGCTTCTTTCGTGGCAGTTTCCTGACCATCTACTACCTCTGCATGGTTGGCGTCAACGTCTACGGCTGGCGCAGTTCAGGTGTCAACCATGTGCTAATTTTCGAGATCGATCCGCGCTCCCACCTGAACCACTTTCAACTTATGGAGGTGAGATGCTATTACCTTTTCCATGCACAACACACTTTTCTGCGAAATCGCAGATTCCATAAAATAAACCCCTGTTCCTCTCATGCTATTTCTCGTGAGTAATCAGATTTACATGACTAAAACTGCATGGCCCCATTCTGCCCAAACAGTTTGGCAAAACTGTCGCTGACCCGTAATTGACTTGCCCTTGTCACGCTATTTGGTTGTGACGTCAATGACTTCCACCACAGTTGTGCACAATCTCGTGAAGAATGAACTCACTTCCATTTCGTAGGTCTTATGCAATAGCAACCATTTAATTCTTTTGTCGTTCATCAAATGCTGAAATCGAGCAATAGATTGTCTCATCACATCCGGCGTAATTTTGTGCTTCTCGAGCTAATTCAGCAACTTCTACAGCTGATGCGATGCCTCTTTAAACCAACCACTCAATTCGTTCCTTCGTTGGGGCGTGCTATGATGACACCAACGGCAGGTCGATAGGCGCCTGTGCCAGCGCAGCCCAAGCGGACCCACCTTACACGCACTACTTCCTGGCACTTATTCGCTTTAACCTAGCTTCTCTCTTACATCCACTGTTGCGTTTGGCGATGATTTTGGCAGCCTAGATTCTTGACTTGGATCGCTTCGTCTTCATGATCTTCCTCTGCAAAACCAACGTCGCTTGTGTGTTTTTACTTCAAACTAACCTCAAGTAGTTTTCCTTGTGCTTTCACCCAAAATAAATCGACCTGGACTTAATTTTTTTGAAACCTTTTTGGTACAACCCATTAGTTTGTCTTTAGGTGATCCGCCCCAGCTTTTACATGACGCAATTTGCAAAAAATTCCGGAATTTTGAGACAACTGACAACCATAAAGAAAAGTACACTAACTGTTTGTAATTCGGACAAACCAGCGGTTTTTCATGGGTACAGCTGAAGTTGAGATTACTTTGAAGGATAATTAACTGGTACATTTAGCAGTTTACAGGTACGATCAGAAACCTTGCAGGAGGACTTGGCTCTGTTTGAACAACTTCTAGGTGACTTCAGATTTTTGCTTTTGTGCCACCACATGTGCACTTGGCCACTTGTACACCTAGTTTCATGTAGGGCTATGAAATCACGACCTGCTTTTCGAGTATGAACCTGTTTTCAATAAGGCCTACTTTACATTTAATAAAATTGGAAGTAAATGTATAATTCGTCTATCACGAAACAATAGCCGGAAAACTCCTACGAATCACACTTACTGTATGAGGAAATTGTCGTAATGAGGACCTCGTCCATTCACCTAATGAAGTCGAGTTCAAGGTCGAATTAGTCAGATTCTTTGAAGGATGCTAGGTATTAACTTCTGCTCTTACTGGTGAAGTTAAACTTTGACCATTCGCTCTACTTTCGATCTTGACTTTGTTGCCTCCAAGTCCTCCTAGTTATATTGAATTCGAGACCGCTTTGATGTGACCGCATGGTTGATTCTTCTCTGTGATTTCATAAGCGGACCAATTGCGCAAATAAAAAAAGTGCTTGAATTGCCTCCATCATTTTCTAGTTTCTCCGTTTTCCGACAAAGTGCGTCCTTTATAGATATTTTCTATTACTGGTACATTCAAAAAATTGTCCTTTGGAATTACGTTTTCCCAGTGATTTGATTTATATTTGAATTAGTTTGGTCCAAGTAATTTATCAAATCTCCCAATGCAAACCCCTTAATTTGATGTTTTCATTTCCATATTTCACTGTTTATCCTGACTTCACTTATATTTACTACCAGGTCATAATTGTAGTTACACCCAGAGTGTCATTCCCCGTCGATCTGAAGCGATGGACTGTTCGAGGAAATCCTCAAACCCTTGCCATTAAACTTATGGCTGTTTAAAGATTAATTCTGTCAGGTAATGATCGTTTCCGTTGTGAATTCCCCATTCATACCTCTGTCGTCACGGCCAGCGCAAACGCGTGAGACTGTCTGTCTCGCCGTCTCTGAGTGCACGTTGCTCGCTGCGAAAATCGATGCTCAGATCCAAGCGGTCCGCGGTCTGCCATACTGTCGCTGTCGCACTTGATGTAGCTTAGACTTAGGTTAGATCACAGCTGCGCCCTGAAGACATAACGGTGGTTGTAATAATTTGCTCGAGTATACATTTCATGAAAAAAATTACATTATTTGTAAGTTGGAGCGTCCTGATACGGGGGTTTGTATGACGGAATTGACAATGCGTGGTAGAATAAGTATCTTTAATTTTATTAACTCGAAATCTCTCATAAGCTGACCCACGTAAATCCTTTATTATCAGCTTAGTCAAAGTCATTTAAAGCAATCCCCACAAATGAATTTTCCAAATCTGCTTTCATTCATCTTGGATCTTTACCATTGGAAGTTGCGAATCGATGTTTAGTTGAATGACCTTAAGGAAAAACGCTAACTCATTAACTCCATCTAATTTTTCATTGGCACACAATTTTTTATTTTGCTCTTTGTTAGTCTTCCTCGTACGCTTAGAAACCCACTTCGAAGCTGACGGAATCTTCCCTGACTAGAACTCGGACGGTGGTGACTGAAACTAAATTGAAACCGTTAGCCGCGTGTACTTAGGCGCTTTCAAGTCGCCTGTATAGCCGTTCATTGTTATGAGGATAACCCCCCTCCATGTTTTAGTTGTCATTACAACCCTAGAATTTACCCTCAGCCGAAATAGAGCTTTTTTGTCCCGTAACTTTACACGCCTTTAACACACGTCCCGTATACACTAGTGTGGATTTAAGGAAAGAACCTCTGATAGAAGCTATGTATATCCAAACATTTTACAATGCTGAGGTTGATTGATCATAGTAGAATTTGCCATTATTTTTTTATCATGCAAATTCTTCATCTGAATGTACACGGCGCACCCAAAACATTGAGCTGTTTACGCTTGCTTTCAGGTAGGAATGCTTTTTGCTGATTTTTGGGGTGCAGCCGTACTGTTTTACTTATTTTCCGACCGACTCAGTCTCCCAGGATACGCGGCACCCTTTGTCCTCTTCTTTTTCCTGGTGGTAACTCTCCTGCTTCCATTCCACGTCTTCCAGTACAAGTCCCGGCTATGGCTTCTCAAGATTTTGGTAAGGTTCTTTATTGGTTAAACCCATAAAACCTCGTACAAGTACCATTATTCTTTTTTTTATTTAATAAAAGTAATCCTTTTAAAATAACACAGTACCGCCTGACCTGTTGTGTGCTGGTCGCCAGAAAATGGCTAGGCACTGTGTCTGTGTATTTATGATGGAACAATTTAAAAGAAGTGCCCTTGGGATAGCAAGGTTTGTGTTTATTTCATTTCAATTCCGAAGTAAAGTGGTGTTCAAGGTTGTTTACACCGCCCTCAACCATCGGTGAATGGCCTTTATTTATCTTTGCACCAATCAAACATAGCCTGTGATTGCCAATGGACTCTATTATACCTCAAATGCTGTTTTAGCTCAGAAAGACCCCCTACAATCAACCCGCTCTTTAGCTTGGTTCACGTGATATGTTTATTGAACCACATATTTCAAGCAGTTTAAGTCGCTGCACACCCGCAATAGTGCTGTGGAGTGATCTGCTAACCGCGTCGTCATGCTCCTGAACGCTGTCAGGCCTAAATTACTGCTGCCGCGAGGATTCCATTATCCTGAACGCTGTCAGGCCTAAATTACTGCTGCCTCGAGGATTCCATTATCCGATTCTGTTGTCAAGAGCTGTGTTCCCATAAACGTATACTCCTTTTTTATGTTCAATCAGCAAAAAACGCAAAAAAACTATTTGACTTGGTAAAAAGATTACTCAAGTTACGTTAAATTTTCTAGGGAAATTATTTTTCCAGGGTTTGAAATGCTGTTGGCATTGTTTCTAGTACCTCATAACACCATCTTTGTCCCTGTTCTACTTAAAGTCAGAATAAATTCCTTCAAACACTGAAGCGTTTGTTACTGAAACAAAACCGTCACATCTTATTGTGCCACAATGAAAAACCCGTGAAAAACTACAAATAGGCGTCTTTCATCTTTTCGCAATTACCGTCGTCGCCAGAAGTCGTGTAAACACTTTTGAAATGAATTTTGCTGTTGTTTACCACACTTTCCATCTCCGTCTGCTATCATGTTGCTGTGATGTGTCACAGTCTCAAAGTATTGAGAACATTCGCTCCCATAATTTGTTTTTTTTTTATGCTCTCGACCTTGGTCGGTGATGCGGTCTTCAGGAGCATTTTAGTTTACCAAAATTCACCACTTCCACAAACAACTGGATATCCAACTGCCATGAATTAACTGCAAAATAGTTATCAGTTGCTTTTAGTAACTCTTTACCTTTTTCATGAATCTCAATGGCACCAGGCTTGCGTCTTTACTCAAGCGTGGATAACGTCTCAAAGGTCATGTTTACACGTGACAAGCGTGTTTTCGTGCTAAGGCAATTGTAATTTTCCACTATCAAAAAACAAACAGTCGAGAATATTATGTTGCACAAAAACATTTATTGTGATTTGTGTAGAGCCTTGAATTGTATTGACGAGAAATTTGTTTGTTATCAAACACGCCTGCGGTGTAGGTGAGTGACATGCGACCTTTTGTGACTGTTGGGTTACTGCGCCAGACTTGTAATCTCTTGCCAGCCATGAGTTCAACCAGTGACAAGGACGACCGAAGTTGGCAGTATTGCACGCGAAATAAATGCTTCACACCTGCCAGATTGATTACGACAAGAGTAGTTAAGGCAATGCGCAGTCGACCCGAACTGCAAGTGACAGATTTCCGTGAACTAGGCTCCCTCAATCCAGCAGCTACCCTTATGAGTTGCCTAGCTAATTGAGCAACCTAAATTTTCTGTCTGTTTGACCTAATATGACATTCTGGTTACCATAACATGACAATCCATGTTTGAAGTTATCAGTTTTCGAATACGCTAACTACCTAGACCAAGTGATCTAAAATATTAGTCTGTGCTTACTTATTTAAATTAGGTAGACCAAGGTAAGATGAAGAGCCATAGATCCACACTGCCAGAAATCACTGCAACCATTTTACCATGCTGTTAGGTGTTGCTTAGTGCTTTCCAAATTAGAAAGAGCACTAGAAAGGTAGGATGTTTGGTTGATGTTTTAAAGAACCGAAGTTGTACGTGTAATACTAATTTTCATTAACTTCTCATTTTCACTAGCTGCGAATCATTCGAGCGCCGCTCGCTAAGGTCCGCTTTCCCGACTTCTTTCTCGCCGATCAGCTGAACAGTCTTTCATTTATTCTGCCGGACCTGGCCTATTTCCTCTGCTTTTTCATCACCTTTATAGACCACAATATGGTTGTCAAGAGCGATTTCCGCAATTCCACAATCGTGCCACCTGGTGCCAATCCTCTATTCGGTAAGGATTATGTGCGTACTGTGCACTATTAAGCCCTCCGAAAGACGACTTATCCAATAAGCTTGGTGCTATTTTTCGCCTCTGCCTGTAATATAACCCTTGTTTCGTAGCCTTTGTTATCGTAGATTTTTAAGGCCTCCTCAATTCGCATAGTCTCTAGGACTTATGGTTTCACATTCATTTTATTAAATCTTGTCTGACATTTTCATCTCAAGCATTTCATTCGATTGTTGTTGATGCCGAAGATCTATGCAATGTATTATCTGCGCGTGTGTCTAATAATTCGTGCCGCATTCGTCACAAATATTTTCGAGCAATCCGACAAAAATAAAGCGATCCGCTACGCAAAAATGCCACCGGAATGCACGTTGCAAGGACACCGGCACTTCGGTAACAACATTGATGGACGTTCCATAGTTCATTAAAAAAACCGAGTTGTGTAGGGTCTTGAGATTGCACTTGCGAAGATCAAAGTTTGCCTCAACTTGGCACCCACTGAGCCTTCGAGTGTACTGGCCAAATTGATCTTGATTATGCCCGCTCTTTGTTTTGATGATTTTTTTCATAGATTAGCAATAACACCAGTACATGACCATAGTTTTGAGCTTGCGCCAGAGTGTCCCATGTTATCTATGGCTACCACCATGGCAACACTCTTACTAAGCATGAGCGAACGTACATTCAGTCAATTATCTCGACACCACTTCACGTAGCTACGTCTGTTTCAGAGAGTGAATGTCAAACCCTTTAGATCCGCACTCTTGTAGCAATAAATCGGTTGAGCCCCACGTCGTCCACGGACTTCTTCTTTCCTGGTTTGGCCGGGACTTTGCAGGTCGTCCGCCTCGGTGCGGTTCAAGCCCCACACCATAGCCCCTCTGCTCGAGTTCGCCACACGTCTGCGTTCTATTGGAAGGCTGTGTTAAAAGAACGACAGACCTAAAGTTACAAGCCACTCGATGATCTGTTAGCAGATCATGATTTGCAGAAAAAACGGCTTTAACACATGCCTCACCTTACTACTATCTGTGGAAGTCAGTAGTTCTGACACCTACTTAAAAAAACAGTACTTTGTGTGTCTCTTTGATCCTCATGCTTGTCACAAGGAAGCAGTTTTATCGCTTAATACAGCTTTTGTACTTGAATACCACATTGATTTAGTAAATACACTACCAAATACCCTATTGAAGTGATAATTGCATTAAGATGTAAGCATTTAATCGTAAATTATTTTGCATCTTGTTATTGGCGATGTTTTTTTTAACGTGAAAACGTTTTCGTTCACACGATTGACAGATAGCTGTTCATGGTTATGCCTCAGCCAATTCCCCATTGTTTTTTTTGCAACACTGATGGGTATTTTCAAGATTTTCATCATAATACATTGGGCAAGAACACTTGAAAGCCCAGTGAGTACCAAGTCGAGGCGAACTTTGATCTTCACAAGTGCAATCTCAAGACCCTACAAAACTGGACTTTTTATTGAACCACGAAATTCCGATCACTGTTGTTGCCAAATTACCGGAGTCTATTTGGTAGATTAATGAGCAGTGTTTGTGCCTGCAACGTGCATTTCGATAACATTTTGTGCAGCAGATCACCTTAATTTCACCGGATAATTCGAAAACAGTTGTGACGAACGCGGTGCTACTGATTAGACGCGCGCAGTCATCACCTTGGGAAGGTCGTTGGCGTTGAAATCACGCGTGCGCCAGTGTTGTTAGCCGTGGTATTTTGCGCCCCGGGCACTTTACTTTTTAGCTTGACATTTGTGTGGGGGTGATGAAGCAGAAATTGCACTTTTTCCCCTTTTTCGACCTCTCATATCTCTTGGATTTATGCTCGGAACACTTCCAAAATACCGAGGTTTTTGTCTATCCCAAGTGAAAATGCATCAAAACCATTAGCTTTTGGTAATACTAGCATAAGCACCGGTATATTGTGTGAATATGCAATCCACTCACCAAACACTCCCAGCAATTTCTTAACCAGTTCGATTGCTGGCTTATAATTGGTATGCTCGTTGTCTTCTACTTGTAGCCCCAAAAGCAGGCTATTGCGACGGTATGATGTGGGGCCTGCAGCCTATTCTGAAGGCCCTTCCGGCGTGGTGGCGCTTTCTACAGTGCCTTCGGCGGTATCGTGACTTGACCATTAGGTCACCAGTTCCGCATTTGATGAATGCCGGTAAATATTCGACAACGCTGATTGCGATTCTCTGCAGTTCCGTGTCCTCGATCAACCAACGTATGTCGTTCAGTCTCTTTCCAGCGCCACCTTTTTCTCTTTCAACTGAAATCCTGTTAGAAATCCTTGCTTTCCAATCCACTTGCATTAGTGACTGAGGTCATCAACCTTTTTGCGCACTAAAATATTCAGTCTAAACAGTCATTTCATAACTGAGCACTCTCTCCATGGACAGAAATCTCCTACCAGTCAGGAGATCTTTACATTCAAGCGCCCACGTAACGCAGGTGGTCAGTCTTTAAGCAAATGACCGCCCTTCGTGTTAACGGTCTGACACGTGCTGCAACTTCAACGCGTATTTTGAAGATACATTAACAATTTATTGAACCTTGTATTGACATCTTGCACTGCAAATGTGGCAAATTAGGTGTAATCTTTTGTATTAGTGCAGGATTACTGTTTCTGTTCTGGTTTGTGGGATTTCTAACCCATTCGCGCAGTGATTGTGTTTCATCTAACACCACCTCTCAGGCTGTCGTGGTGGTTGGCTTTTGAAACAGGGAGTAAAAAACTACATCCGAACATACTCCTCACAGTTCTATTACTTATGTGTGGTAGAAATTATAACGATTTGTCGTTGTTATTTTAGTCCTATCTTAATTTTAAAATTCATTCTTCGGGCCCTGATAAAATCCACAGTTTGTTCTTTTTTAGATATGGCATTCTTCATCCTGATGATCATGTCTAAGTTTTTCAGTTCAGTTTGCACTACAACCTGGGACTTGGTAATGGATTGGGGTCTTTTGGACAGGAGTTCCAAGGAGAACTTGATGCTGCGCGACGAATTGGTATACCGATTTCGCGCCTACTACTATGTGGCCATTGTCGAGGATGTGATCATACGTTTTGCCTGGATTCTGCCAATCGTCTTTTCGCACTTCAGAATAATCGAAGTTGAAATTATCACAACCATTGTAATGTTTGCTGAGGTCACCAGGTGTGTTGCTAAGGTTCTTCACGTGATGCATTCGATTATTCCATGAGCTACCCCTTCTTGTGTTTGGTTTTCGCTTAGCAATCAGCACTTCACTCGAATGTTTTTGATATCTTACCATTTTGTCCAATGCTTTGGCTAATAGACCTGTCAAGAAAAATATTTCGCTCCATTTAAATTAAAGACTTGGTGAGGTCCCTCGTGCAGGAAAGGTTATTTTCACTTTGCAAGAGGAAAAGGGGAACTACATGAGGTAATGTGGCTTTGTGATTTGAACAATGAGCCCTCTTTCACACTGGATATCGCGTCTGCGTTAAGGGTTGGTAGTTAACAAATTGCGTTTTTCAAAAAAACCCCTAGAGGCTCTAGTTTCATTACTGTTTTACTCAGGCGAATAATCTGGAACTTTTTCCGTCTGGAAAATGAGCACCTCAACAACTGTGGTAATTTCCGAGCCGTGCGCGATATTGGAATTGCACCCATCCGCAAAGACTCACCTCAGACACCTCCTAATGAGAATGTCGACAAGCGCTACAGAAAGTTCAACCAGCGATTTACTCTTAATCGGAACAATCAGCGGGGTGGTGGTGAAGTCCAACCTGAAGGCAGCGATATTCAGAGAGACGACCAGTTACCTGCCCTCGGCAAATATGCGTCGCTACTGCAAAATAACCAGCGCAAGAGCCTGTGGGGCTACCTTCGGGAGGCCTATTTCCAGACCAAGAAGGAGAGGCGACGACAATTGGATCTGGGCCTGATCGCCAGCATGGAGGAAGCCCTGCGTGCAGCAAAAACCGATGTTCAAGTTGGTGCTCTTGCATTCTGCATTTTAAATGACAATATGACTAGCTTTTACAAGTCCTCGATTAATTTGTGCCTCGACGCCTTTCTGACATGACAAGATGCAAACTTTATTGGAGGTGCTTCCCTGTGGACCTAATCGTAGCATCTCCTCTGTTTTCTCTTTCATTGCGCTGCAGAACAGTAACATTTGTTCCATGTGGTGGTCACTCTTTTATGGCTGTCATCTCATCGCTTCTACAGGCCCCGCCTAAATCTCACAAACGTATATGCGGCGCAATAGTCAGAAAATCCAACTGACACGTTGAACTGTTTTCAAAGTGCAGTGGCCTTTATCAGTTATGCCTTCTACTTTTTGCACTTCATTTTGACCTTCCGTGGGTTTTTCCATTATTTTTGTCATTATGGATGCTACTCTGCTCCAAAATAGAATCTACATTACCATTTTAAATACTACCATTCATGCTCGGTGTTAACTGATGGACTTTTCAACAAAATTCAAAATGATCCCCCTCAATATCTGCGTCCTTTACACTACTCATCGGATAACTTCTAGGGTGATTGTGGTGTGTAGAGTAGAAGCAATGATTGCATAAACAAGCACTTAGTACCATTAAAAAGGTTTTTCTTAAAGGCGAAATTGGACTCGAAATCCCTACCTCCTCGCGGCGCAACACCGACGGAAGACCCAGCAACGGCGCAGGCGCACCTCTTTAACGAGGTGCTATCACATCAGACCATGGGTCAACACGACGGCACTCGGAATAGTTTGTTGCCACTTGTCGCAAGGGACCAACGTCAGCGCTTTAACCCTCTTTCCACGTCCTCGTCTTCGGTGTTGACGGAAGAACCCACTCACAGTCGCCGAGTCATGGTGGACGGTCGACAGCGCCAGGCCTTCGCCAGGGCCACCATTCCCCTCACCGTGTGCCTCCTCGAACCACAGCAAACTTCATCTGGAAAGAATCGGGTGTCTGTTTGTGATACTCCCGGACAGTCTACTTGCAATCTGCCTGTTTTTCCCTCAGAGGCCCACGGCCTGTTTCTACCGCGTTCTGAAGACGCAGATAACGGTCATGGACTGGACCTTGTTATCGCCCCTGAGATGCTGGTACCAATTCTAGCACTTTATGCCACCTTTATTTTTCACTAATTTCCCTAACTCTTACGGTAGCGCTAATCAAACTTTGTTTTTTGATTTGTGGTCTGTCAATCATTCATATCACCAACTTCCTTTGAAATTCCTCTCAGCAGGATCTGTTTGCTGTAACAAATCTTTGTGTGTTGCCGTAACCATCTTGAAGTGACTAAGAGATAGACTTCAATCTGGAAATGCGTGTCCACCACAATATGTTCCTCTTTACCTAAAAATTAACCTAATTACCAGATTCGTTTATTTTCATATCCATAATTTCAACTTAAGGTGTTTGCAACTTTACAAACTTATTCATTGATGCTCATCCAACGGCTCACTCATTCTTTACAGGTTTCTTGGTGGAGAATATATCATGTTACCCTTCAATGATGTGCTTTAAGAAAGGTTGATAGCAAGACTAAGTAGCATATGGAATAAACCCGGACGAAGTATCGTATGCGACTATTAGGAAACGTTTTTGGATGAAAAATCTCATTTTACTCTTCTAATCGTTTCAGACGCAAATGCAAAACGATGACTCCCCAGACGACACTGTGCTCCCCATCCGAACGCGAGTCCTGGCCAATCAACTTCGGGAACTTCTTCAGTCCTTTAACACTCAGCTTGGCGATTCTACTGCTCCTCAACCGACATCAATGCGTAACCCATTGCAAGCTACGGAGGGCCAGTCTTCACCAGCAACTGGTGATGGCCCCATAATGAGATGGCGACCTGTCATGCCCGGCGCTTATCAAATGGGGCAGTCGCAAACTACACAACAGAGACGATGGGTTAAACGAAAGGATAGGAGTGTATCTGGCAGTCGAAGTGATAGTTCAACAATTGCTATTAACCGACCGAAGAGTGAAAGCAGCCTGGATATTCGCGCAACGGACTCGGAGGAGAAGGTGCGGCACAGCTCCTCGGAGACGAGCTCCGTTTCCCTCTGTGAAGAAGAGGAGGAGAAAAGGGGTGCGTTTGCAGGACTCTCACGGGTGCCGGAAGACACAAAGTAAGCAAGATCGCATTCTCTTCTTGCAACTGAAATTCAACGAGGTTTTGTTAATTTTTTTGTGATAAGGCGTTTGTTCCCTCCCGCCAATACTTTTCATATTCCTTTTCTCACTTCACCGAAACTAAGTTACGTTTGGTGCATTGTAGGTAAAAATACATTAACAAGTGCACAATGCTTATGATGTTTCTTAGAATAGTTTATGTGGATTGACGTGCAGAAAGCGCGATGAAGTTAATACATTCCTTAAATTGCGTGAAAATTCTCATGCCACAAGTTTATGCGATTACATTGTTGATTTGATCCATAGTAAGCCGTACTTAGACTGATGTAACTTGTCTTACTGCCTTATGATCTAACTGCAACGCACCTAACATGGAAACATCCATCTGAAATTATACAATTTACTTGGAAAGAATTCGACTACATTCTTTGGCGTTTTAACCTCGCACAATTTTACGTTTAGTAATTGATTAGATCATGTTATAATTAAATTCGTGTAAACTTCGTGTTTGAAAACTTCGAAATGAAATTTGAAAGACTTTGGGACAGCCTTGTAACCACGCACAGTCTTATTGGCGATTTATTATCTACTTATTAATAAAATACTTTGGTGGTTTTCTGAAGTACAATTTTGCTTAACTTTACTCTAAGCCACAGGAAAGCGCAGACTACAGCTCCTTGGTAGAGGCAAAGTTTGTCATTTAAAATGAAAATAAAGCGAATAAAAGTTTTTTCCGCGTAGATTTGAAGAGGACATGTTATTTCCACTTGTATTGTGATGCTCAAATCACGCAAAACGTTGATCAATCAAAGTAAACGCAAAATCAAGCAGTCAGTCATTATGCTGAAAGTGTTTATAATTTGCATCAGACATTTTGGCATGAGTGATTAGTGTACTGGTGATGAGAATGCGCATCCTTAAAATATTTACGCAACTACTTAATGTCAGTTTACTGAGTGCATAGTTGTGGTTCCTTCTCAACCGTATTGCACGGTCTCTATAGCACTTTAGACTGGCGTATTTGAACAAACCATTCGTATGCGTTCACTTCAACCATGTTCCAATAAACTCGAAATGAATCACACTCGTTTGGTATTGTATTCCGGACCCTATTCAGTGCGTAATGCATTTGTTGATACAAGTTATTTGGTTTGAGGAAACCCCAATATTGAACTTAAAATGTGTTTTATGACATCTGTCACCCATTTCTTTTGAATGAAATTCGACCTTTAATAAATGTCACTCTTAAATTACTTAAAAACACCTGTTCGTAATTTGTTTGCAGTCGTTGTTCCAGAGTCTCCTTTAAGGATGGGCTCAAATACGAACACTTTAGACAAACCTAATGTTTTCATTTTCATGAAGGCAAGAAAGCAATTGAGATTCATTGGGTGACTTATGGTGTTGAGTGCTTAACAGAGCTCACAAGTCAGAATTGGTTTCAGCAATTCCTGCCTGAAGACGCCTCATTCACCGAATCCGTTCTGGTTGATCTGTTGGGGTAGATGATGACTGCATCAAAACCATAGTCGAGTTGAGGTTAAATGTATTACACCGCAACCGAAAAATCGTCTTAGTTGTTGGGTCCCGCAGGAACGAAACGACTCGATATTTATCAAATGCATCTCAAACGCGATGAGGTGACTCACTGCTGTTGATGAAAGATCGGCCGTCTAAAGTAACATCAATAAGCGAAAACGAATCCGACGCAGGTGTAACGAACTAGAACTTACCACATCAGAAGCTGAATTGCATCTGAAAGATAAGCTGGCAATTTGGTAAAATTACAAGGGTGCTATGTACTTATTTGTGTCATCGGCTGTTTACTGTACGCAGTTAACAAAAAGAGGATAGATGCCAAAGAGGAACGATAGAAGTGGGCAAATCGCAAACTCAGCTTGTTCTATCAACACATATCTGTTGTTTATTATGTGTATGCTGAACCTGTTTCTATCCAGTTATTCAACGGTACTACTTTTCAATAACTCACTCTTTTTACCAAAAAGTCCAGAGTGTTTACCGTCTTTGATGGCCTTTTGAGGGTCGGCGCGTTTTTATTCATTGTCTGTGTATTTGCCTTCCAGTTCGAGGAATCAGAGATCCCAAGAGCCTTCTAGACAGCCTACCCCCACCTACCCAGTCAAATTCACTGTTGAGCGAAGGGAGCATCTTGATTAAGTACACCAGCCTAGGAAACTTTTCTGAATATATATTTGCGTACGTTTTCTAAAAAATGCTTTATATTCGGTAATATTCTATGCATAAAAGAATTAAATGCTCAATTAATCCCCAATTTCTGCGGTTGCATAATTTGTTGGGTTGTTTACAAGTGAGTTCTCTCTGTATTTTTTTGCTGGTTTCTGTTTACAAGTTTAACCCCAAACGCAGTTTGAACTTAGGCCATTCCTGCAAAATAAGGCCTCTTTTGCAATGCGAAATTAAGTCTGAGTTCGCTACCTTAATCTGAAATGCAGATTTATCATTCTGCATAACTAGCAGAGTGTATTTCTAGTCGTCCAGTATGATTATCTATACTTACGACAGATTGCGATTCTAATATTTTAAATTGCAGTTTCTCGTTGAATGCTACGAGTTTCCTAATCTTTTCGTGCCTGACACTTCTAAACAAGCACCTATTTGGTCTGCTATCAACCGTTCCGTTGATACTTTGCCGTAAGGATCCCCTTGGTCAGTCATTGACACAGTTATTTGCAAGCAACTTCGATTGCGTGCATGACGTTGGTTCTGTTTTGTGCGGTAGCAATCTAAACCTTGTCCCCCTTCACGTTGCCCACGACAATATATTCAATGATAGTTTGGTTTTCCCGGACAGACTTCAGGCAACTAGTCTACATGCTGGGCGGTCTCATAGTCTCCGAAGTCAAATTAAATATAAAGAAAAGCAAACGGTATTTCGGTATTTTTGAGAAAATCCTGGTATCAGGTCTTCTTTTTTGTAGCCTGATGGAGCCACCGAGTTTGTCGCCACACAGATACCCGACCAATGCTACGCCTCAGGTGTGCGCAGAAATCTTACATTAATCTCACCGTGGATCGATATTTTGTTTTACTGCCAATGCGCTGTTTATTTTTACACATTCTTTGTACTAATTTGGCTCTGAATTATTTCCCTTGTACAAAACCACCAACGCTATCTGCTCACTTCCCCTATTATTATTCTTCTTCTTCTTATCCCCTTATTTTGGCGCGTTTATGCCAATTTTAGGTTTATGTGCTCAAGTTATTTTTTCAAAAATCAATATGCGTGGTTGCCTCTGTTGATTTTGGCAAATATCTATGTCTCCTGCCTGGTAAACACTGGAAGTCACGGTTGAAGCAATGATGACTAATTACTGCGTTTTAGCTTATTGAGCTAAGGCCAGGTATAATATTTTTACTTAGGGGGTTCGCGGATTGAGAATTACTTTGAAAATTGTTCTAGGTTTTCTTCGCTCTACTAACATTAGTGGAACGTAATTTTGACATCTTGGGGGGCTAGGGGGCTTCGAGTGTTAAGTAACCTGCCTCATGGTGCCTGAAGTAAATAAATGACCACCTGAATTATCAGAAAAATTATTGTTTGAACAGTTTGATTCGCATTCTATGGTTGTCACACTCCGGTAATGCTCACAGTTTCCACATGTGCCTTACAGGAGTGCCGAAGTGCATACCGCACTCGTGACGTAACGAGCGAATTAATTGATAATCGTGCTTTATGGATATCTTACATAATTGTAGGGGTTTGTGATCCCAGTGTGCGTCTAAGTGGACAGCCTAACTGCCTTCATTGCATTTCTACATTCGTGCACCTTAGAAAAAATTCTGACTTAACGACGCAAAAGCCTGACGCAGGCAAGTTTACAACAAATGTTGAGTCCAGCACGAGACCCCGTCACGAATCGGAATTCAATATTAATCGAGAAACAACGTCTGTTTTCGAGCATTGCCATTCGGTAAATCCCGCGGTCACTGGACAGTCACCAGACCAATATGGTCCCCAACCCACATGATCCCATGGTCGTGCTGAACGATCTCATGTTTCTGTGCGAACTGTTATCAATCAATTCATTTTCCCCTACAGGCAGAACCGTGGTTTATCCTATGTACTTCCAACGTGGCACCTTAAGCATCGCCCCTTTTCTCCCTTTGCTGTTAGGAAAGGCACACTCTTACTCGGCGGCATAACTTATTCAAACATGGCTAATCGAGGCATCAAAATGTCCATTTAATTTCTGATTTTAATAGCTGCCTCACTGCATTTGTACTTATTATATTATCAAGCATCTTTTGTGTATCAAATTGAAGACTTCATTTAAACTTAACCTAGGGAGTCAAGCATAACTTCAACTCCTTAGGTTTTCATTTCAGTGGAGGTAAATTTGCTGTTTGGGCACTCCAATTTGTGAATCGGAGTCATGTTTTTCCCAGGATTCGTGTAGACATCCGATCACGTTGCGTTCGCACAAGCACTTCTCTTGAAGATTCCGATGCGTAGCCTGACAAGCAAAAAATCAAACTCTAGTAGGGCTTAAATATAATATCTTTCAAAATGGATGCTTTATGAAATTAAAAATCTTCAAGTTAGATTTTTCCCATCTGCCATTCTCCCATGGAAGTATTTCAAACGCTTCTTGAATAAGCGAAGTGACTGTTAATGACGCTTAAAAATGTTGCTAACATTTTTACATAAAATTTGACAAATATATTTATGGTCACTTAATTTACAATTCCAGTGAAGAACCTAGTTTCTTTAGACGCTTTCTCACGTTAGGAATAAGGGCAACTTTAAACTCTAGTTGAGAGAAGACAGTTCTAAACGTACTTCAAAAGTTGAATTGAAACACATAAATTATCAAGTTTGGCCATTTTCGTTCAACACTCGCCAGCTTATTTTTTAGCACTTCCTCAGTGAAGACTTCTAACATTTGTATTTTGTGAGAACTTCGATTTGACTCAGTTTTTCTTCAAATCCACTAAATGGCCATATTTTTAGATTTGTACTAATGCTTGTTCTTTGATTTGTTTTTGAAACACACGTGGTTTTTTATTGCATATTGCATTTGTACAGTGTTTTTCATTCATTGTCCTGTTTATGTGGGCCCAAATTGAGGGTTAAATTACTCTGAAATTTTCGCGAGAAAACCAAGAGCACTCTGTCACAAATATTCCAATGTATTATCACCGTGATTTGACATCAGTTAACACGTGCCAAAATATCAAATTTCAGAATAAATCATCATTAAAAAACTGTTTTATTGAAATTTTCAAACATTAGCATAACTAATAACCAGTAATCAGGACACATTCGATTGAGGTTCGTCTGTAAAATATCAAGAATATCAACTGGCAGTAACAGAGGCCGCCTCATCAGGTTTTCGAGTTTTTCTTACTTTTTTGCACGCAGATTCTTTAGCAGAAAGCTCCTTTTTAATGCCCGTGACAACTGTGTAAAGAAACTGTTTCGAAGAAAAAAGATTATGAAAGAAGGTATTACAGACCATTTCATACACCTTCAAATTATTTGTAAATGAGACAGAAAACGTGGCTTTGTTTTACGTCACTTTAAGTGGCCCTGGTGGACATCAATACTCTATTTTAATTATCATGTATTGTTTAATCTTTTTTGCTGGTGTGAACACACGGGTTCGATCCGTGAACCTGACGCCTTGCTGGGATGTCCAGCCAAATTAGAATCTCTGCTCTGGGAGCCAATAAATCTGTAAAGTCATTAGAATTTGGCCATAGACAATATCGTCGAGTTGAATTCGAAGGTTGATGCAAGGCGTTTTGGGTCAACTTCTGGAGCAACAATTTAACTTCTTTCTATCTAATCAGGTGTGGATGATAAAAAGGATTAAGAACCCGTCTACATTTAATTGAGGAAAGTGAGTAGATTACCTCTATGAGCTTCAGACAATCCCGAAGACGAGTTTTCTAAAATAATGCAGAAAGTGTGTGCTAGCTGGCTGGTTTATATTAAGTGTTTTTTTCTAAAATCATGGATGAAAATATTCTAATGACATTGTAGAGAGGCCATCGTGAAAAAAAAAGTGGTTCGAGCACGGTTGGGAACAGGCTCCCCTGTGAGCAAACCGTATGGAGCTCTTCTTACATTCACTGGGCTTGAAAAAAACACAATGACGTACTTCAGGGGGACCAGCCAATGGGTGGCGATATTCAAGGTCTTTAAGCATTGTCACACACTTGTTAGTGATGTTTCGAATGCTTCTGATAGCCATAGTGAATTTGTTAAGCTAAAGTAAAATTAAAAATAGAAAACAAGGCACTTTATATTCTTTCTGTATAAATTTGTCTTGCGTACTAATGCTTAATAACAAGCGAGAAGTCAAATTTCACTACACTGAACACGAATATTTACTGGGGAATATTACTAAAATTATTTGTTTCCTCATTTATATTTATTGCTTTTAGCAGTATATCCAATTGTACAAAAAACGGATTTACAATTAACTCAGTGCATTTGACCCATAAGTCTATTGAAAACTAATCTACTGGATTTGCTTAATTTATAAGTCCGCTCATCCGCAGACATCAACGTTTCTGCTTCCAATAAATTGCCATTATTGTTTAAACAAATTGGTACGTTTTCACACTGTCCGGTCTTCTCGCTGTCCATTGAGGTTTCGCAAATCATCACAAGCTACACTAAATAGGCAACCAAGTAAAGACGGATACCAAAAACGCTGAGACAAGGCCATTTTGTCATCGGACGAGGATCACACCCAACTCGCCTGCATATTGAGATTGGCCTTTTCCCGGTCAACAGCTTTGTCCAAGTATTGCGACTGGCCACGCAATTCCTCAGCTTCAGTAACCATGTCCTGTATTTTGGCAATCTTTTCTATTAAAAATTGCTTTTGTTTGCGAGCAGCGTGGTTTGTTTGAATGAGATCTTCTTCAAACTAGAGAAGCAAAAAGCCCAATCGTGGCTTACTCGCACTGAATCATTTACATTCAAGCCAGATTAATGCTGATGGACGCGGTCTCTCAAACTTGAAAATACAAATTTTTTTAGTAAATTGTGTAAGTAATACGGTTCTGCCAGTTTAGTGCAATTTCAAAGTAAGAAAACCATTTCAATTTATTTCCAAATTCCGAGAGAAAATTACGAGTCACTTAAGTCATCGTTAAACTACAAATTTAGAGAGAAACCAAAAAAAGGGGACACGTCTTTATAAAAGTTTTCCATTATTTAATGACTGGTGATGTATTAGGTTCGTGTAGCACAAAATTGCACCAATACTCCGCAAATCACCTGAAACCTAGACCCACTCAGTCACATAGAACGATGTGCGCGAATTCGTTGACCCAAATTGGACGATCTGAGCACTCTTCTCATGCACTTAGCTGTGTTTCCAAGATTTAACCAATAATGTGATATTTTGTAAAGCAGATTGCTGTGTTCACCTTCTGCTCGCAACATGCTTGTCAAAGGCATATATGTGTAAGTGGATTTTTCTGAATCATGACGTCTTTTTCCATACCAGGTATCCTACTAATTATGACTCATAAAATTTCTGCTTTTAAACCTTGAAACAGAATCAGAATGCCATGGAGGAAAAGGAAGGCCCCAAACCGGAATATTAGATATTTGCACGCTATAACCCTGGTTTTATTGCATCTTTGTGTGTGGACACTCAGATCCTGTGTAGTTGGCTCCTAATTGGTGCAGTGCCATTTCCCGCCCATCAATTCCTCTTCGTACTCACACATTACCTCAGTTGCAAACGTTTAGCTATGCACATCATCATCATGCCGCAAGTAGGAAGACTTATTGAGTTTTCCTCAATGGTGGAGACTGATGAATTTGGGGCAACTAACAAAACGAATTCGTGCCACAACAAAAGCAGTAACAAATCAAAGCGTTAACCTTTACTAACCCGATTTTGGTTTTCCTCCCACTTTTGTAATAGGTGTTTCCGCGTTTGTGTCAGGGAATGGTATCGTAGCATCAGAGAGAGTAAAGGGTCTTGGGACTTCACGATGTAGCCTGTTAAGAAAACGTCAATAAGGTCTTCGTCATCACAATATCATAAAAAGTTATCATCCTAAGTGTCTGGATTTTCGCGACCTTAATTTCGATTATCTGGAATGCAATTTACCTGTCTGCAACTTCGAACCATTTACTCACAAATAAATATCTGTACTTGTTAACGGTAGTGTAGACAAAACGAGGTGAAATTTGTTTCACACTATGACAAATACTTCTTGGGACGATTCACGTGATGATCCCGCCCTCAGCCTCCCTCACACACATCGGTGCGGGCCTTTGTGCAGGTACCGAAATCGTCTGGCCCAAATGCAAGTAAAGGTGAGATTTTTGAACATGGTTCTAGTAGATGATTCAGGCTTTTATTTACCCCCAAAAAACGATTTGACCTTCGACGTAAACTGTATCAAATGATAACATTCATTCGTTGTAAGTAAGTGGTTCAAACATGATGGTACTTCTTTTGGAGATTCAGCCTAATGATGGCCATATTTTATTGATTTTGATAATTTTCTGAGTGGTGAATAGTGTTGATTCACGTCTAATAATCTGGCTGTCTCAGTCTCAGACAGACGATCCTGTTTTCACGGCGCGCCCGTCAGCATGCGGGACCGTCTGCTCATTCATCCCTGTGCATGTACCACCACTGCCCGCTTTATCCGTCTGACCATTCAGACACTTGTACGTTAACTAGTTCATCTTAACCGTACTTACCACATACAAGAGTGATACCCACAACACAATTTCGTTGAGCTATCGAGTAGACGGCTAGGCCTCGTCCTCTCCGGTCTCCTTCGTCTTCGCGGATATCAAGTTAGCGTAACCAGGCTAGATTTAGCGCAGTGGCCATGGCGTGGTTTCAGACTACATGCCGGAGGCTGCAACATATCTTGTTTGCGATCATTAATTTTAATGCCCCCATTTTTGCATTGAAGTTGGTCCCCTATTCCTATTGGCTCATGAATCTTAGAGTATAGTATTACTGAAGTGCACTTCAGGCCGCCCATGCCGTATAAAGTTATGAGCACCTGAACGTGTACTCAGCCATGCGCGAGTTCATATCTTGCCCTATTTTGGGGAAGCGGTGACCCATTCCTATGCTGTCTCAATACCAGTACTAGAACAGTCGTTGACACGGTAGACAAGAGATTCGATTATAAGCGCTAGGGCCTATGAATCTGTGCTCCGGGAAGCGTGACAAATTCCTGCCCATAACTGCACTTTCATTTACTGTTTAGGTTTCAGAACATGTTTTTAATACCACGACCTCGCAAATACACTGACGAAAGAAAATTTAACATACAAGGCTCAATTGTAATTGGTGATACCAATCAAAGCCATTGACTATCAACGTACCTTCAGGTAAAAATGTGAGTGCTTCCAAAAGAAATTTTTCGACAGGTTGCAAGGATTTAATTTGCTGTTGAAGTTTTGCACATCTAAACAGTCATAGAAATCCAATTTATTGACTCCCCCTAACAGTACATTCGCGTGTCCTAACAAGCAACCAGCCAGATGCCTGTCTTGGCTGCCATGGTTATTTAGTGTTGTGACAAGGGGAGAGCTCGGTGGACCAGATGTCGCCCCATTCAGCCGAGAAAAATCACAATAGGGTACTACATCTCCCTTACACTTTTAAGCCTAAAAAGAGGAATATTCAACATGACTAAACCTGACACTAAAGGTGAGCAGTTAAACGTCGGTTTTAATAAGGTATCTCCAGCAACCCTTCTATTCATTTGTCCAGCCAAGACAGCAATGATCATTTGTTCTATTCTAAGAAATTAATAGTTTTAATGAACGATTTACTCTGCCATATAAGAATGCAAGGTTTCTAAAGAAATACAAGTCACAACACCCTGTGACAAACCTTTGACGCATTTCTCGGGAGGCAGTGATGAGTTCATTCATAGTCTCTCGACCCTGGGCTTGCTCTGAGCGCATGGTCTGGAAGGTCTGGTACTGACGATTAATTTTGTTCACGTTGTCAACAATAAATTGACGAAAAATACTGCGCCTTGATTCGAACTCCTGAATCTGTCTGTTTAACCGTCTTCGACGCTCTTGTTGAAACCTCATAGTTGTCTTTGTTCGTGAAGTAAAAAACAGTAAGGGTTGAAAAGAATTTGCACACAACACAGGCGATAATATCACATAAAAGCTGGGTTTATACATTCCATGTAAATTCACGCAATTTTGGATATGAAACAGGTAATCGGGAAAGTCAATAATGATAAATGCTTATATGCAGCAGCAGCAGCAGCAGCAGCAGTAAACTCATTCAAGCAGTCACAAGATGAGTTTACCGTTAAAAGGTGTTTATAACCTTGTTCTTGGTCTCGTTATCTCAATAATACGGAGTAGCATCGGGGACCCGACTTTTGATGAACAGTAAAATGTAGCCGTGTTTGAAGGAAAGCTAAATAACACCAGACCCTCTATTTTACAAGCACCAAGGCCTCGGTTCTGGCAGCCTCGTGCACCAGAATCCAGCGACGTCATGCTGCTATTCAGTACTTGTTTTGTTATATTAATTGATGTAATAAAAACTAGAAATTAACTCCAACTTACAACAAAAGATTGCATCGCTTCATTGTGCAGTTCACACATGAGTGTGTACGTAAGTACCGCTTGTTTAAGGATTGCATTGACTTTGGACGACCTCATCCTGGCAATTGAAAAAAATATACGACCTTGAACCATCACAGCAACCAAACTGCCCAAGTTTTAAGACAAAAAGCTCCAACCTATACAAACGTGGCGTTTTGGTCTTTTCAATAAGCTGTCTGTGTGCCTCTGGTGATAGAATAAAAGCACGCCCATTTACACCTTGCGATTTATCTAGCAAACAACTATACAAACGTGGCGTTTTGGTCTTTTCAATAAGCTGCCTGTGTGCCTCTGGTGATAGAATAAAAGCACGCCCATTTACACCTTGCGATTTATCTAGCAAACAACTATTTGTAGACGAGTTCTGAATAACTAGAGCTTATTGCCTTGCCTTCGAACGGTCGGTTGTAAAAAACTCGACTTTTATGAATCAAGACTAGTGGCAGATGAAGCATTATGATTTTAATTATCAGGCAATAAACTATTCATAATTGTTAGATAACCTCAAAGGCTTACAGGTATGGCGTAGTTGCAAAACCTCCCAGGATACTTTTGTGAAATAACAGATTTTCACTTTCCTGACTTGATATTTGCGAGAAGTTCTTCGTTCTCAAACCAGCGCTGGATGCAGCAACCAAGGGATTGAAAAGAGTGGATGAGTAAAACGACCTCATTTCTGCTGACCTACTCCGACTCATTGACCTGACAGTTTTTAGTGTCTCCTCCACACTTGGTCTGATGGTCTGCGAAGGCGGCTTCATTCTTGTCTTTTGAAACGATGACATGTTTGTATCGAGGGTTGGGGGAGAAGGCAACGTGACAGCTGACCTCGAAATGTAATCATATTAGAAATAAGTAGGCGGAATGTTTGATCAATAATTTAAGCTGCTGAACAATTGATATGTTCGGTGCAGACAGCTGTGTGACCTTGAAGAGAGCTCTATTTATTGATTGTGTGTTCGACGCCTCGCAGTCATGTTGAGGCCGGATGTTAAGATATTCTAGGTCAAAGGCTTTTCCTGCCTAAATTTAGCTCCACAGAAATAGGATTGAACTTAAAAGATATTGTCTTCCGCAATTCTTGCGAAGTATTTGCTTGAAAACTATCAGCTGAACCTAAAATAAGCAAACATTTCTTTATTAACACAGAAATAGTAGGCAATGATACTTTTGTCTACGACTTCACTATAACGACCGCTCATGTATTCTAGATAAGCCTAACTTTATTTTGCATAATCTTGTTACCAAGATATAAATTATTTTCTTTGATGAAATTAGATGCAGATAGAAAGCCTTGAAAAATATGACTTGGGGAATTTCTTGGTTTAATGTAAAGACCGAGGATTTTTAGTATACGATGTTTTAGGCTCTACCTTGCAACCATCGTAAGGTGCTGCCCTTATTTTTAATATTCTCTTAAACTTTCCTGTGTTTAGTTCGCATTTTACATGTGCTTAATGGTGTTAAATATCAATACCGAATCATGAACCTGTAAAATTTTCCATTGATGTTACACGATCTCCAATTTCACATCTTGGTTGGTTGCAAAAGTTTTGGATTTCTGTTTTGTTTTTCATTCGGAAGGATGTGTTACTCATTATACAAGATACTCGTTGATTGCTAAAGTATTTGATGATATTTCTGGTTATTAATGGCTGAAAAGTCCCAAAAAAACTGTAAATCCTCCTGCAATCCTGTTGCTGATTCCAAGGACAGAAAGGTCAAAGTGTAAAAAACAAGCGTTTTCATCCCCAAAATTATGTAATTGTGTATACAAAATTTGTTATGGTTTTATGCTTAATAAATTATTGAAGAGACATCAAGAAGATGCCCTACCTATCTGTCAAACTATCGAAATTGACACGGATTTCAATCCGCGTTGCTGTTGCACCCCTTGTTACCTTTCAAAATGTTCTTCAGAAAACCACGCACTCTAGCTTCTTTTTCGAATCTAGATTAGTACACACATGCACTAACGGAAGCATGGTTTATCCTATTTGTCTCGAATGATCGTGGGAGTTGGGATTTGTTTAGTGCTGCCCATCTGAAATTGAAATACAGGTAAAAGTGGATGTGCACAAACCCTATCTCAATGACTTGTCACAAATTATTTGCCTACGTATTTAGTTAAGCATTGTATATGTAAAGATAATCAAAAGCATTTCACTAGCGCTCATTCTTCGTTACTTCACAGACTAAGTAGCAACCATAGTCATTGACAAAATCCAGCTTAAACCAAGCTTCTTGGTGTTGAAAAACAAAGTCATCTAAGCACGTGGTTTGCCATCCTCCCTCCAATAAGATGTCCATGCGGCTCCCGCATGGAAGCATGCAGTTTATTTCAAATAAAACACACACTGTCCAATCGATTTGTTAGGTGGCGCCATGATGGCCAGACGCAATTGTCTGAAAAGTATAGAACTTCCTGAGCTTCCAAGGAAATATGACGAATCATTCGACCCCAGTGGTTGGTGCCAATATGTCAGGCTGAAGCCGCAAGTCAGCGAAAAGCCACGCAGGCCCTGCCGCTCGACCCCACCTGGGTGCAGGGAAGACGCGACGCGGGGACGCCGCTACTTGAGACGCGATATCTTCGAACTTCCACCAATTCCAGTTGAAAACTGCATTGACAAGCACTCACGATTCATAGAGACTACAATCGGCTGTATCGACTTTCATGACTTTGACAAAAGGAAATACTTCAGAAACTTTCAGGGAAGGCACGATTTGGATATAATTCGGCGGTCCGTACCCCTTAATTTGTGCGAAGGTTATCCTGGTGCGACAATGAGATACTTTGCCTTAAACTGGCCGGAATATTGCATATTTGTAAGCACCGCTTAATTTTAAAAACTTATTTCAAATTGGAAGTTTTGAATTATTATTTTGTTCCTTTGACTGAACCCAATTTCGCTTTAGAGACCGTATCATATAGACTGTTTTTTTGAAATATAAACGAGATTCTTGGGGCTAAGATAAATGAATAACTAGCCAAGTAAGCGATTGTTTAGAATGGGCCTCAAAATTAACTTATTTCGTTTCTTGGTGTCCATTTCTGTTGTAAAAAAAAATGCAAAAATAGACTTCCTAAGTCTTGCTTAATCGAATGATAGTATCTTGTACCCGTTGGAACGTTTGTCAACATCACTCCATTTAAGCTAAAGTAGATACTAACGAGCACATTCTGTGCCATTCGTAGTGCTTGTGCTTTGCATCCGATTTAAAAACGCCTTCAGAGTAAGGCTGTAACGGATCAGGTGTCTGTTTTGCTTCGGTTTTTAACGTGCACTGAAGTGTTTCCCGATTGCGCCCTACTTATTGTCTGGCAAGTACATGATTTTAACCCCCACATGGAATTTTCTGGTGATCCAGGAACTTTAAAGTAACCGTTACACAAGATCCTACTTTGCACAAAACTCACACGTAATTAAAATCAGAGGTTTAGAATGGGGTAGGGCTTCAATAATTATTATGCAAATAGCCATAGTTTGGTAGTGGATAAGGCTAAACCGCTTTATCCACAAGAGACGAGGCATGGAAGCGGTTAGACAATCACTGCTAGACACATGACAGTGCATTTGGTCATGACTACATACACATCGACACGGAACGTGATCAAAGCCACATTCTTCCGGCTTAATTTTCAACTCTAACAACTAGTTAGACGGTCACGACTGTCTTCATGAAACCTGCTCAGCTAGGACTCGGTTTAATGTCGTATTTCACTTAAGGTTGCTTGTGTGTATGATAACTCGTCTACTGTCTAACCCCACTCATCATCAACATTGCTTACCCTCGAGTTTTGTCAGTCGTATGTTGCTTCTTTTTCCATGAAACTTGAAGCACTCATTTTAATTATCACACAACCAAATGAACTATATTGACGCAGTAAAACAGTAATTCAAATTATGGTAAGTCGACCTGATGAATTTCGAGCTCGGAACTGCCTCCTCAAGTGGAATTATTCGAAGGCCGACATCAGCCAAATGGTGATTGGTACTCACAGTGCTTGCTGTTCACTGCACTGCATTTGATGCCAGCCGCCCCACTTGCCAGATAAAGGAGAGCTGCACTTTGTCTATTTGTCAATTTTTCAGAAATACCCAACAGCTCTAGTAGTTAAACAACTAAACTTTATCCTTAATTAAACCCAAAGCATCAAAAACAAGAAATTGATCCTCAGGAATAGGCCTAAAGAAGAGCGATTGATAAATACATTTTCGGTAATATAATATGGCGTTGCTTCCCTAGTTAGAATTTTGAAAAAGTACACCAATTAACGGAAAACCTTTAATGGAAGTCAGGCCTTCTCCTTCTTTCTAGACATTACGCAACTGCGTAATTATTATTCAGGAATGCTTGGGTGTGTTTGTGTCTAGTTTACCCTCATTGAACTCTTGGCGCGCAGAAGGAGTAAAGGAGGATATAATACATTTTCGACTCAAAAGTAAAACCAAATTTTATACACGACAGAAAAGTGACAACAAGACCCCTTCACTGTAAAGCTTATGAAAATTATGTTTCAAATGGGAGCTTTCGATGATGCATCGACTATGCCTTAGTTGACCATCTGCACCGGTTGGAGTTGACTCAGCCCAGTCGGATGGTGGAGGGCCCAGTTTTGAGGCTCATGACGGAAGTTTTGCCCGCTGCTTGAGGCTGAGGCACTTCACTCGGCCAAATCAAAATTTTGCAGCAGTTTTATCGAACCTTGCAAAATCCTGGGCACACACTAGCTGTCACACAAACGCGAGCTTGTTATGCGTGCTAAGCATTCCTTGAGGGTTAATAGGTGAAATAAATAACTTGTCAATCCATTCACTTACATAAAGCCAGTAATTAATAGCTAATGAGCACTTTAATGGGGCAGATTATAGAATAGAGCCGGCGTCTCTAGCCTGGACGGAAGCCGCTTGGATGGGAGTGGTAGAAAAAGCTGAAAATCTGAGACAGTTGATGATCTGAAGGTGGGTCATGACCACAAGTTAAGCGCTTATGCTTGCAGTAATTAATTCAGACTCTGATTCAGTACCTTCCATTCACTTTCCTTTATACCTCTCTGGCGTATGGCTGTCCTTATCACCTCAACGTTCTTAGTTGTTACGGGTGATAAATTATCGGGGTTGTGGAGTAGTGCAACACCAATCATAACAGTCCTCTCAACACAGTCAACAAGTCTAATTATGTTTCGGTTTGCTTTAGCGACCGCGAAACTTTGTCACGGAAGTCAAATCGACGTGACGATTTATTTAAAAGTCGGCAATATTTTAATCTTTAAGCTGCGAGCCTTTTGTTGATTTTTTAAAGGCCTTTACTGACACCCACATACCGATCGGAGTCATCATGGCACTTCAAACGGAGCCGGAAATGGCACGAATCGTCATGTTTGCCGTCGAACGGAGAGTCGATCACAAAGGCGTCTGTAAGTGCGCGTTGTGTTTCTCAAGGTGATGGAAATCACACGCCTTCTGTCACATTAACATCTGTATGCATTAATAATAAAGAAGGTGCTTTCAATTGTAGACAGAAGACTACTGGCTCTTGAACTTCAGCGAATGCAGGAGAATGGCATACATACGGTAAAAGTCTGCTGATTAAGTCTATGCTGGTTAAATGCTAGTCTCGGATTTGTAATCAGCGTTTCTTTTACTTCATTCAATTTGTCTCGCAGTGATGTGTGATGTCATAGTTTTACAATATTACTCTGCTGCACTTTTTGTGCAATTTCCCAATGAATACACTGCAGAGCAAATTCCTCAGAAGGTCAATTATAAAATATCGGCTCCTATACTGACTAATAAATGCGGTTCTACAATCACTTAAATTACTGAAATATGTGTTAGAGAAAACACCAGATACTCATGCTATTAATTTTAACTCAGTAGAGGTGGTGGTTTCCTATGTCGGATGTTAGCAAAATTTTATGAGGAGGCTGCGGTGGTACTTCTCGCAGAAGCCCCTAATAACCGATTTCATTTTAGGTAGTAATTCGTCCGGAAAATGAGAAGAAGAAAATGAAAATGTTACATGTGGTTGGCACCGCCGGTCCACTGCGCCGAATCAACATACAAGGCGAATTTCGATTCCACATTTGATCGAGCAGAAGTGTCGGATGTGACTGTGAACTACCCACCTGCTTCCACACTCGTTCCACCTGGATACTTTCGTTATGGTCATTGTGTTGCCCTTTAAATCTTTGCAACGATTGCATCTTACCATATTTTCGTCAGAACTGACGTCTTTACAGTGCTAAGGCACAGAGAATTTGTTTAAAAATAATTATTTCTGTATGTTTGAAAAAAAGCGTACGGATTTCAAGACAGTATAAATCGTAACGCAGCAATGAGCATCCTATTGTCATAGGTGCCTCTACCATGGCCCTTACCTTCACTAAACCGAACGAAAACTTTAGTTAATAAAGGACATTCTTGTAGTCAAATACTGGAATTTAACTTTACTTGGAAATTAGAGTTCGGAACTACTATTATAACTACTGAAAAGATCATTCGTATATGAGCTTGGCGTTGTCGAAAATAAAAGTCCATTTGTTGTGGTTTCACAGACTAAACAAGATTTGGGCTTTTTTGTTAGTAAATAACAGGCACATGAGATGACAAACACCTATCTCTCGGTTACAAATATTTAACTCTAAAAGCAGATACCCGTATGTTTTGGAGCCGAGTCAAGTGGCTGCTATGTCAAGTGCCTAAGTCAAGGTATACAATTAAAACACAACGTTTTAAGTCGTTCATCGTACGATGAAACGCCGGATGCGCAAAGCCGCGGACTAGTCCACTCTCATGTCCACCAACTGCCAATGTTTAAGAAATACGTTGACACGTGCTCACTGCACATCAAGACACATTGGTTTTAATGCCACAGATGTCAGTATTTTTACAACAAATCCGATCAAAATGACACTATCCAGCAGGCCTCGAACTGACTGAAAAGTGATTGGCAAACATTGTTACAGCCTTACCGCCGTGAAAAGAGCTCCTGACAAACTGCAAAACCAGCCTTGGGGTCCGAATTATGGGATTCGTAGGAATTATCACCCTATCATGTTTGTATTCATATTATCACTTAGAGTAAAGTTGTAAAGCACTGGCCTTAAACATTTTAAATGAGGACACGAATATGCGATTAAGAATGTAAATAATTATTTCTGCACAAAACACCATTTTTATTTGTGGGAAATAAGTGAGCAATTAGAAGAAACCAGATCATACAATCTTTAACACCCGAACTCCATTAAGGCTATAAATGGAATGGAAAAGGAAGTATTTTGGCAAGTCGATCTGCCTGTAAATATGCAATCTCGTCTAACGAATCACCAGTGACAGTTTCAGCAGTACACACATAGGGCAAAATCCAGTGTGCCTGGATGAATTCCATACCACGATTACTGATGAATGAAGGTACATCGCAAATTCTTGATCACCATGGCAAGTGGGTCGTAATTTCAACACAAAGTCCTGAGGCACTGTAAATATTAGGAAAGCTTCCGTAAGACTATCGCATATTTATTTACGAACTAAATGCGTCGAGACCATGACACTCACGAAGGGAAGAGGCCGCAGCTGGTTGTGGCGTACTACCGTAGGACAGCACACTACTTGCTGGCCATCTGAGCCTTGACAAATACCGCACACCCGCTTATCATAACCTATTTGTGCATGCAGTGCTTCCCAACCATGTTCTCACTCTAATGTCCCGAACTCGCTAAACACGGATCATTTAGGAAACCCAGCATTGTCTCCCTTTTCACTGCTTAAGTTTAAACCTACTTGCCACATTTAATAAAGAATCCAAAACGGAATCAATATACTATTGTTTGTTTTAATGCTGTTTGGCAAATGAACACGACCTATGGAAAATCACTGCGCACAATGCGCCATTGACATGAAGGTCGCAAAAGATTGATAAAAGAACGCCAAACTCTACATGGTATGTACAGGAGTCATTATATACAGTGCTATGACAATTTCAAAATATAGGCTTCTTCACCACTTCATATGGTGGAAACCAGGATGCAAAAAATGACAGTTGCTGCCATTCCGGCAGTTGCCTTGCTGGAAGAACTTGCAGACTTGGTCTCCACGACCGCCCCTCCGGCCTATGCCACAGGGGCCATTCATTGGGGGCCTGCCGCCCCCGTACATGGGAGGTGGAGGACCTCGGAAGGGAGGAGGTGGGATAGGACCCCTAGCGAAGTGTGGTGGTGGAGCATCCGAAGGGGGAAATGGGGGACGTCGATAAGGCATGGGGCCCCCTCCACCCATTGGGGGTCGCGGGTGACCGCGTAGTCTAACCACATTGTGTGGTGGCGGGGGTCGGTCCCCTGGAACAAAGTGGGGACCCGGAATCCTCGAAGGACCCACGTCAGAACGCATCGGGGCATCACCATGATCAGGATTAAGCGGACTTGTTATATGATCGGGAGACGTGGCGGAGAGCGTGGGATGGGCCAATGATGGGGCCGGAGAAAGCGCTGATGCAGTAGTTACCGCCACCGAAGGCGATGCTTGATCAGATTGATTCGGGGTTTTGTTGCTTTCTTGGTTGAAATTTAGAGCAAGAGACTTTACCAAGTCGGCGACCTCTGGGTTAAGAGACATCTAAAATGACGTAAATAACGTGAACGGAACCGCTGCAGTTTACATTTAAATTAAAACTCAAGCTTCCATACCTGGGAATTCCCATCACCTTTGTCGTTTATTATTAGCAGATCCTTGGCGTGTAACTAAAAAAAGATGCAGCCTTGTTTAATGTGGGCAACTCCAACGACATTTCAATCCGACAACTAGAACGTCATTTAACAAAGAGGTGATCCCCCCCCGCACACCAGACCAAAAACCCGACCGAGCATGAATTATGAACTAGGTTGCTACCGAACGAGCATAAAGTGAAACTGGGTTAAGTTTTAAGGACTATGCGCTGCACAAAAGACGACTTGCAAAGAAGGTTAGAATTCGTTGCTGAACGACGAAGCACCCAAAAGCCAGTGACACTTCACTTTAGTAACAGCGCACAGATAGGTGCAGGGCGGAATGACCGATTGATACGTCAGACGGGTCGAACCTCCGCTCAGGAATTAAAGGGCAACACCGATGGGAAATCGACGAATAATGATAGGAGTGCCAACTCAGTGATGGACGGCCACCCTATCGCATTCGACAACCCAACAGCCTCGCCTGTCATCCATTAATACGGGGATGAGCACCGACTGTGGAGCAAGAGACTTTGCAGAGCCCTGGAACAACGTCGTACAATATTTCGAAAACTACGACACAGGGAACAAGGCCACCTTCGGCTGGCCAACCGGCTACTAAGCATTGTGTTAAGAACTTTCCCTGCGTATAAATGGAGAGCCTTAGGTGCTGAACTAAAGCCGCAATTAGTACGTGCTAGGTGCGATAGATTATGACCCGCACAATTTGAAATATCCACCAGCTACGTGGGACCTTTCGGCCACACGTAACAGTTCATAAAAGGCAACATATGCGCCAATTTCAAACAAAAAACGGCATTTTAAGGACGTGCACGGGGATCAGGCCAGGGAGCAGATGTTTAGCAACGATCCGACTTCAGAAACACGAGTAAAAACATTACCTGAACGTATCGGCGCTGACCTACACCGCACCGAGATCTCTGTAGCGCGCAGGGCGCCACGAAAACAAGCGGCCACCAAATGCACACACGCGCACGCATGGAATATTAAGCTACCGAACATGACGGCGTTTAGCTGGAATAACTGAAAAGAAGTGACGCTCACTTGGCCGCGACGCTTCATTTCAGTTAGTGTATCAACGCATCACGGCAACGTCAAGGAAATGCGATTCTTTATTTAAGAGCAAGTAATAAAAGTCGGAAAAAAGACAGAATTGGGGTGGAAAAACCCCGGCTGACAAACATACATCTTCTAAAGGAATTTCGACGGCTAATTTAGCCTCGAATTCTTCTTTTTCAGGTTCCTCTGGTGAAATTGGTATACTCTCGCGAGTAAAATAAATAGCTTGAAGGACAAAACGCTCCCTCTCCAGCTGAATTTGTCGTTCAGCAGATTTGCATCCAGGCTCAACTGTAGATACCAACTCCAATGGCGATGGTGGATACCACTACAATTCGGATGAAATTAATACTTTTAACAGAACTCGAAGGCGGGCCTTTGCTGCCACCAGGAAATAAAACCCTACTTTAGCGTCTTTGATTTCAACCTCCTCGTGCCGCTTGAAAAGTTGTCGCTCAAGTGAATGTTCCTTCTGACGTATTTCAGCAAGTGAAATTCGGGTGACATTAACTAAAGTTCGAAAAAGGAGGGTGAATAAATCCACAAAGAAAGAGAAAGCCCACATAGATACAAACCTCTTTCAGTGTCATCGACCTCGAAGTAGCTAATTTGCTGCAGCTTCTCTTCCGGCGCCCATGATACACGCTTTTTCGGCTTCTTTTCGACCCCGAGAGCACTGAGGTTTACCATTGACGACTTCTTAGGTGCCTCTGCATCAGACAGAGGGGAATGCCCTGGCTCAGGGATTTCGACATCCACATTTTCGGACAGTGATACTCGAACGTCATCAGTTTCCTTGGAAAACATAAAATGATGTCTTGGACAACTTACAGAAGTCGACTCAGGCGCGTCAGGCTTACAAACCTTCCGCTTTTTTCTTACTACCGGTTGTGAAGTTGTGAGGGCATTGATGAAACTTGAGCTCTCGTGAATTTCATGCGGTGCTAGAAAGAATAAAATCACCAAAGCAAAAGGCACAGTACATTTCTTGGGTTCTGTTGGAGTAACCGTAATCCTCTGGTGAAATGACTCGATTGGTAACATTGGCTGAACCTTTTCCGGAACTGATTCGATTTTGCTACAACAGTAAGCCGGAAGACATTTCGTACCTTTTCTTGGCTAACACCTCGGACCTCGACTTCGGTACGACCTGGTCGTTTGCCTCTTCAATACCGGCGGTTCGCATGACAGTTGGCGGCACCTTCACAGTAGATCGACGCCTTTTGGCGTCCTTAACCAACGCATTGGAATCACCACCTGACAGCTCCTTCTTAGGGGACTCTGACTTTCTCTTTTTGCATGGCACTTCAGTATTCTCTTTCCGACTGTTTTTGTTAATTACACCCTTCCACTTTTTTACTATATCAGCAGCCAGTGCTCTCACGCCTTTAAGCATAATTAATATTTAAACCAAAATGTGTACCTTCGTTATCCGACCTCTTGGATAGCGAGTTTATTAATTTCGGACAAACGTTCCTTGTTAGCTGCTCCAAAGTAACAGGTAAATCATGGTAAACCTGCATCAACTCGATGAGAAACGAACAATTTTCTTCTTTAAGTGCTTCCTGAAGCCATTTGAGAAGTATATCCCAGGCGTCTGTTTCACATATGAGAGACTGTACTGCAATGTCAGACGCCGATATTATGCAAAGGGATATGCACTTCGGGACTAGTTTTCCGTTGGTATCAGACATTAACGAAACCAACTCGGAAATAGATTTTTCTTGAATACCACCCGCCTCGGTTAAGTGCTCGCGGAATGACTCAAGTAGTTTATCAGGATCGCCAATTATCTAAAAAACCAATAACACGACTCAACCCAGTCGCGGTCAAACAAACGCAGGGACAACCCACAACCGGCCGCGGGAATTAAGCATGTTTTAAAAATAGAGACCAACAATATCTATCCCATAAACTAGCACCCAGAGCAATCCAACCCAAGGACAGATTGCACCGCACAATTCTGAGACAACTGACTCATGGAACAGGTGTCAGAGCACGACTACCAAACCTACTAAACCAAACAGCCAATGGTAGAGGAAAACAACGACCCCGACACAATGTTACGAGCATTATAACATAGTCAAACGTACATTAACACTCAAAAGCATAAAGGAAAGACCGGCAGAGGACTTGAAGACCGAAGTTTATATGAGACCGCATAAATTGGCGGCAACATCAGGGCAGCACATTTTACACCTCCCACCAAGACTTCTCAGATCAAAATCCAAAAAAGATCTTTGACGCGAAGTTAAGATGATACTAAGGCCAGGGAAGTGCTCGATGGGTTACAGGAGCATGTCGCCTTCATTAAAGTCACTTAGGCTTGCAAGAACCAAGCCACTCACAAATTAAAACTAAAACGCATTGAACGGCTGGAACCCCGAGTGCCCA